TGCTGAACTGAATCATTACTGTGGTGTTTAAAAATGGGCTTCTAGTGGAGAAGATTAATCCTGTGTGCTTTTTGTTTCCCCTTAATTTTTAGGGGTTGGAAAGACTACTCTGATCCAGAAAGTCACTCAAGCTCTAAAATCCTCAGGCATTCCCATTGATGGATTTTATACAGAGGAAGTTAGAGAAGGTGGCAGGAGAACAGGATTTGATGTTGTCACTTTGTCTGGAAAACGAGGACCTTTATCTAGAGTCAGGTACTGAGGTTTTAATAACCGTAAGTGGCTTATTGTTTTATGCTTCTGCTCCAGTCTGTCGGCATGTTAAATGCTCCTCCAGAAGGTGATTTTTGGCACATATATGGCTTTCATGGTCAGGTTCTTTGTTCAGTTCTCGTGCCCTGGCTGATACCTGTATTGTGTATCTAGATAGTGTCTCTACTGCGTAGTGAAATATTGAAAATGTGCTAAGGAAGAGTGTTCTCTCTTACTGCCTATTTTACACCAGATAGAGGGGAAGCACTGCTGAGCCTTTTATTGTGAGGCCGAGTCTCTTTGGGATACAGTAAGTAGCTTATTGTTGGCAGGGGGGAAGATTTTTTGTTTCTGCCAGCTAATTTATGGGGACAGAAGTGGAAAATGAAAGGGAAATTGCATATAACATTGTTTTAAAGAGTTTGTTGTTTTAAAAGAAACTTGTTTTAAAACTGACTGGCCCACAAAACCCACATGGGAATTTTAAGAAAAAGAAGGTTTCAGAGCCCCGCTAAGAGGGGGGCCCCTGAAGTGCAGAGGGGCTCACAGTCTCCCATGATTCACTAGACTTAGCTTTTCACGCTTTGTGCAAAACTTAGTCTAGGTCCAGGTGTGACGTTAGCACCTCATTCAGACATAGTTGATCTGAATAAATAATTTGCATGCTGCTAATAAAGGAGGTTCACCTAGCATAGTGTGATGCAGCACATGCAAACTGAGTGTTTCTCCAAGATTGTTTAAGGTTTTTGCAGCCCATACTGAGATTCGGGCTACTGCTGTGATGCTGTCTGTAGTGTCACATTACCAAATTCAAAGATCTGAACTGCAGGCATGTGTTTTGATTTCAGTGTAAATATACCTGCTGGCTTTTAGATTCCATTGTCCTTCCATACACTATTCAAATTTGAGCTTCCATAGTTGTGAAGGTGGCTTGTGGTATATTTATTATCTTAAAGTATGCTATCTGCAATATGACTTAATGGATGGTTTACAGAGTTTCTTTATTTTTCTTAGAAGAATTAAGGGGATTTGACTTATTAGGATAACTTCTCATAAATCCACTTGAAATGACTGCAGTAAATTCTCACTAAACTCATTACTTAAAAGGAATTGTGTATCTGTTTTTCAAATTCAGTTCTGATTCTTCTACTTCAAGACGTGAATATCGGGTTGGACAGTATGTTGTGGACCTTCTTTCATTTGAGCAATTGGTTCTACCTATGCTGAGAAATGTGAGTATTCTATGAAAGCTGCTGAAAAATGGATGCTTTATGATAATCAGTGTTATTGGAAGGCCCTTGTAGAGCACTAGTTTTTGATATTAATAAATGGCCTGTTTCTTGGGTATCACTGATTCTGATTGACTTCAGGATCAGGAAGCTGGAGTGGCAAATCTGGCTTGTTCTCTTGTGCTTATTGTGGTGTTGGAGAGATTGCAATCACCTCTCATTCTTGATCTGACATCATCCTGTGAGCAAGACCTCCTTGGCCTGAGAGATAGCTAATAGGAAGTTTCTTGCTATACCACTGTCTTGCGTATTGGAAAGGAAACAAAATGTACGAGTGGCTTACCACGCAAGAACTGGGTGGAGTCAGTGGGTCCAAGAAAAAGGCTTTTGCTGCTGCTCTTCTTCTTTACAGCCTTTTTTTCCCCTCTTCCTCTGATTCCCATCTTCTTCCAGTAGAAGCATTTGTTTCTTGAATCCAGTGGTTATTTTTGATTACCACTGTATAAGTACCTGCAGACTGGTAGGTTTTAACTGATAATAGCAGCCTGATAATTTGAGATTTAGCCTGCTGCACAAGGAGTGCTCTGTGACAAGACTTCCCACACAGTCTTTTTCCTATCCTTCTCCTAACATTCTGTTACTGCCTTTTTCCTTCTCCTTCCTCTCTTTCACTCCAACCTTTCCCCTCTCCAAAATTAAACAAGAACAGATCTGATTTTGACAATAACATATCACAAACAGTGTGCAGCAGCTGCTCAACTGTACTACTAAAAAAATCCTATTGTGATTTTTCTACACTGCCAAAGCTCAAGGGGCCAAGGAAGAAGGGACTTCTTAGTGAACTTCGAAAGAGCAAAAAGCCGAAGAGGTGCAAGGAGCAAAAATGGGATTGAGGATCTGATTCTTGTTTTTGTCACGGAACATTGAATTCTGAGTGTCGGGATGTAGGGAAGAAAAGACGTTGGGGGCAAGGAAGAAAGGAAATGTGAATAAAATGGGACAATTTTTATATGTCTAATTTCACTCTGATTTATTATATTAGTAAATAGAAGGAGAGTTTAATAAAAAAGACTTCATTAAGCCAGCACTGTGCTCGGAATCCTTTTACTGCTTCATTAATGTGAAGTCCAGGAGAGATCTTGTTAGAAGGGTGTTAGCAGTGTTGAATTTTTCTGGTTGTTCTATAGCTTTCTGCAAGCATAAGAGAGCAAAGAGAAGAAGAAAAGGGGCCAGCAGGGTTGGACAGTGCATGATCCTGTTCTCATTGAAAGTGCTGTTAATCATTTTTGTGGGAATGTGGTCGTGCATGTAGGTGGCACAAAATGGGAGAGGAGGAGAGTGAGGAAGATCATAGAACTGAAACAAGAAGAGACAAATGAAAAATGAGGGCCCGAGAGTCATAGGTATGGTCTGGTTTGATCACAGAGCAGCACGGAGTGGGCGTGCCCATTCAGTCTTGAGGACAGCTTTAGCTCTTAAGGCTTGGATCTCGCTCACTCTGGTGAGAGTAGGGGTAGATCCTACCATGGATGATCTCTCTGGTTCTGGAAATTTTACCAGGCAGGACTGAGGATTTTTTCCAAAGCAAAATGCCCTGTTTCTCAATGTGTGACATCATGACTAGTATTGGCTTTTTAGCTCACTGATCTATGAAAGGATTTTTAGATAAAACAGCTACTCAGCAGGGACTTAGCTTGAAAAGATTTAGCATGCATGTTGTACAGTTCTTCCACTTTCCCAGAAGCAAATACTTTGCTTTCACAAGGGAAAAGATTTCAATTTTTTTTAAGTTCTGTATAATATGGCTGGTATTGGTATATATTCATGGATCTACAGTGATGTTTTGACTTAAGTTGATTTCCTCCTCACTTCTGTAAATAATGGAGTACAGTTCTCAGTTACTTTTACCAAGAGAGGGTAGGCAGTGCACTTCCTTTTCTGTTGAGTAGTTCCTCTGCTTCCAGTAGTTCCTTGCCTTTCCCTCAATGGCAATCACCTGTGTTGTCTGCTAGACTTCCCTGCTGCTCACACCAGTCTGCAGCATGGTACTGTTTGGCACAGTATTCATGTCATGAAAAAAGCAAACAAACCACAAATGTGAGCAACCTGATCTAGTGGAAGATGTCCTTGCTCACTGCGGGGGGGTTGGACTAGATGACCTTTAAAGGTCCCTTCCAACCCAAACGATTCTATGATTCTATGATTCTAATCATTAGTATGGTGCCTATCCTATGATCCAGGGGGATGGCTAGGACTATAGAATAAGCTATAACTCGACAAACAAATGGAAGATGACTGTTCTGGTGTGAGAGAGACTTAGAAACGGCTTGGTTGTTATCCAGATAGCCTTGGAGAAAGCTAGTTGTTATGAGAGAAATGCTAGTTTTGACCTTCCTTTGACCCAGCTACAAGAGGAGAAACTTCCAAATCTAGATTTAATGCAAGTCTTTTTTTTTAATACTTGTGCTGTGTAGATATTGATCTATTCTAAATGCATAATTTGATGGGTAGAGTGAAGTTTTGAAAAATTGGTGTCCCCCGGATTGATTGTGAGCCGCTAGTAGGCAAAGTGCAGTTCTTAATTATCAAATAGCTCGTATGGGACATTGTGAGAATTCTGCTTTGAAGGAAAACTGGTGTTATGAACGTTTCCTATTGTAGTTGGTATTTATGCTGTAAATATACAGCATCTTTTATCTTTCCAAAAATCTGTGCTGAAATAGAAATGACAGATTTGTAAGTCTGTCAGTTACCAGCAGCAGCTTTGACTCTTCCACTTTTCCCGGTATTAAAATGGAATTGATTTCTTTTGGAGGTATTTCTTTTGTTAGCATAGAAGTTACTTCTGTTGCTTGTTCTAAGTTCTGTGTTGTTTACAGTCTCTTGATGCACTTTTCCATAGATAAACCATGGCAGCGATGCAGAGAAAAAAATTTGTGTCATAGATGAGATTGGTAAAATGGAACTCTTCAGCCAGGCTTTTATTCAAGCTGTTCGTCAAACGCTGACTGGCTCAGGGACCATGGTGCTTGGAACTATTCCAATACCTAAGGGAAAGCCACTGGATCTTGTTGAAGAAATAAGAAGTAGGAAGGATGTTAAAGTGTTCAATGTGAGTAATATTTAATATCCTTAAAGAGCCTTCTGTTCTAGGTTGCTGGTTTGTATTTGGCTCTGTTTAAAAACTAATTGTTACTACCAATTGATAGCTGTGGGTAGCTTGTATGAAATAGTTTTTTCGCTTCCACTTTATTCTTAATGGGCAGGTGTTCGCCTTATTAAAAAAAAAAAGTCAATTTTGGCACTTACTGTAGCAGTCTCACACAGCTGGCTTTGCTTGTGAGGGGCTGTAGAAGTAATGATACAGTTGTTCTAAAAGATTTTCTTGCTGTAGTATTATTGCCGTATAAGTATTTATTATTCCTAAGAGTTAAATCTTTCAAAGTACGGTCAGATTTTTAATATTTTTTTTTTCCAGACTGGCTCGCAGAAATATTACCAGTAATCATATTCAAGGGGAAAAAAAAAAAAGAAAAAAAAAGGCAGTGGTGGAGTTTGCAGAAATGATTTCTAGAAGAAAGACACTTGTAAATAGAGTGTACTTTCTCTGGAGTCAGTGAACCAACTTTGGAATTCATTATGTTATTTTTACAGACATAATTTTCAGAATATTAGGGCCTCAAAGTGCATTTCTGATCAGTTACAGGGAGGTTCTCAAAAACTTACCACAACAAAACATAGCCTGTTCACAGGAATACATGTATGAGGTTTCCTTAACATCTGTAAGTGTCCTGGATGCTTCACAAAAACAAGCTAAATGAGCCCCCACTCCTTTGATTTATTTTTCTGCTTAGTGTGTACTATTTGTAGTAGAGAATAAAGCTATATATCCAAAACTGAACTCTGCATTTCTGTAAGTTAGAAATTCAGTAAGTGGGACTTACACATCCTGGCTTATTAATAGGGGTAATATGCTGTAGAGCAGTATACTGTTGCAGCCTGTTCTTTATCAGATGCACATCACAGTGAGAATGTTTACTTTGTTTTCATCCAAGTGAATGAGGAAAGAAAAAACACTATCTCAACAACTTTATACTGAATTATCTTAATTACTGCAGAGAAAGCAAAGCCTCCATCTTCTTTTTTCCTCTTTAAAGTGAGATTAATAAAACTGCAGAGCTCAGAAAAGTTCCTCAGCTTTCTTTTAGTTGGTGGTCCCATCATCATCTTCAATTTCTGTTTTTTAAATTAAATGCCTTTTTAATTAAGTGCTAAAGGAATTCTAGGAGCAAAGACGAGAGAAGATTCCTTTCCTCACATAAGCATTCAACTCCTACCTTTCCTTTCAGAGATAAAACGCCAGGTTTCCTACTGACAAGCTGATGTGTGTTAGTTGTCAGGCTAACTCCATATTAAGGCATGCAGGTGAATGTGAATTTTGTATGACTTGCTTTACAGTGGTAGGACTGGGGAAGAGGGAATGGAGAATGCCTCACTGAAAATAACCATCATTTGGTGCTTAGGTTGCAGTCACAGCAAGGCAATAGTGTGCATTTGGTTTTCTCAGGAGAGGAAACAGTGTGCTAGAAAACAGCATTTGGCTTTTCAAGGAAGCTTTTGAGGCTTCCGCTGTCTGTTTTTATCAGGTGATGTTCTGAGGGCATGTGCCACTTAGCCCTGGGTTGTTGGCTATATCTGTCTGCCGATATCTCTCTCTTAAGTACTGACTATAGCCAGCAAAAGTCTTCCTGTAAATTTCAAGGGAGCAATGTTTTCTCTAGCTAAAAAAACTACTAAAAAAATGAGCCATCCTGTTTATGCTGCTGAGATTAGGACGTGCAGGTTTCTTTGTTTAAATAGAGTTCTCTGGTGAATCTGTTAGCCAAAAGCATGGGTGTGAACTGTGTGACAGACTGCAACAGTTCCCAGGTGGCAGAGACCTGCTATGCTAAAGTCTTGTGCAGGAGGGCATCTGTCTCACTTGCTCCAGTGACACACTACATGCTCTTTCCCAGCTAGTTAAAATGTGTGCATGAGCAGGAACAGAACCTGCCCGTGGGGAGTCAGAGGTGTTACTAGCTGAAGTAAATACTGGATCACCAGCTATGTTCTTCAAGGGCTGTGGCATGGGGAGAACCTGGAGTGCCCAAATAGCTCATGGTCAGTAATTTCTAACTAATTTTTATGGTGCCTGGAAGTGTACAGAAGTGTGTGGCTACCTTCCAAGAAAGTTCTGCCTGCTTTGTCACTTAATATGGAGTTAGGCTGCATTCAAGTAACTCAGCAGAGTTTTCTTATCCTTCTCTTAATGTCACAAGGACAGTTCTGATGTTTGACTCTGCGTGCATAGAGACAGCTGTTCGGGGTTTTACAGTCCCTTCTGTCTTGAAAGCCTATTCAGTTGGTGTAAATGGGCCCAGATGCCCTAAAAGCAGTTGAGGATTTGGTCCCAAATGTTTAATTTATTATGTTTAGAGCACTTAACGATAGGAGCTCTGATATTTCACACGTTTCTTTTCCATTGTTGCCCAATTACATTTTGCTGAGAACTAAACTTTCCAGTGAAACTTCAGAGGCTCTTTTTGCACTGCCCAGGTTTGTGTAGTTTTGCAGACACGGTGTCATAAATAGGATCAGATTATCCTTAGCAGCTGGCACATACTCATTTTCTCCCATTTTCGCATGCTTATTTTTGCTTCCATGAAACCCATTAATGAAGTTTAGTTGTATATGCCTTTTAAGAAAGAAAATAAATAGTTAAATGGATCAGAAGAATAAAAGGTTCCATTTGAACAGACTATACAAGAGGGTTTCCTTGACAGTACTTGAACAGTTAGGGGAAGAAAGCTTTTGTCCTCTACTATTGCCTGCTTGGAGTCTAGGTGGTAGTTTCTACCAGATTACCTAAATGCTTAGTATAAGCAGCATCTACAGTTATTTTCAACTCCCTGTCTAAAAATCTACCCATCTGTTTGTACATTCAGTACAGATACTGGGAGATTAGTTCTCTCTGGGAAAGGTGCCTGCACAGAATGTCTCCAGATCTTAAGAGGAGACTTATATCTATCAAGCAGCCTTTGTAAAACAGTTGTGAAAATTTCCCAGCACTTGGCACTTTCTCTCTGCTGCTCTCACTGGACTTCTGGCATGTAGGTATGGAAAAGGGATAGATAAAATGTAGTATTGTTTTTGTTGGCTGTGAGACAGTGGGAAGAGCTATTAAATGTTCAGAAGGTCCTTTGAAAGTCAGGATATCAGGACACTTGCTGTGAGATTTAGAGTTTGGCTGATCTATGCTCTCTGCTTTGTTTACCTTGGGGTCTCTCAATAGCCTTACTGAAGAGCAATTCCAGTCTTTGTTGTCTTGCTCTCTTTGTTATTGTGGGGTTTTCTGTTTATCTTATAATAGGCTTGGAATGATACTCAATAAAAACAGCAACATTTTCAGGCAGATTTCTCTTTCGTTCCTTTTTTTAATTTTTTTTAATGTCACTTTTTCATCAGTCCCATGTTGATCTGTTCTCTTGAATTCAAGTGGCATAGGCAAGACCACCGTCTCTAGGTTTTACGGTGTTGGTTTCCAGCATTTGGATAGAATGTCTGTGATTGTAAATAGCAGTGGGTTCCTAGGGCCAAATTCTTCAGGTAGGACTGTCACCTATTTAAAAATAATAATAATAATACTACTTTCTCCTGTTCAGTATTGACTGTAGTACTGGAAGGGATACAAACCCTTGTGCGCAGATCTTAAATGCAGCTACAGGGAATGCAGTGAAACCTTCCTGGTAGAGAGTTTTATGCCATGCATAGTGTGGTGTCTCTCCTTCCTTGTCAAACAGCATTTCTCAAACTTTGTTAAAAATATGAACCCTCTCACTTTTTTTTGGCTCATCTGTCTTTGATTTCTTCTGCCCTCTCTGCAGGGATCTGAACAGTGGGGAAAATTTCTTAGGCTTTTTAAAATGAGGCTTTTGCTGACACTTCACAATTGCTTGTTAACCCTTTCACCACCCCAGCCATCTCCCCAGGTTTTGGTTGAGTTAGTAATGCATGGCCCTGTGGGTCACTGGACTCTGTATCAGGACCCGCTCTCTCAAGAAGGGGTAATTTACACACACCCTGCCCCCGCCAGCTCTGTGCTGTATCATTGCTGCACCTGGGAGCTGAGCTGACTAGCAAGTGCTAGCATTTGCTTGGCAGGCTGCAGTAATCTGCACATGCTGCAATGCAGATGAGCATGGCAAAAGACAGGACACTGGACTATATGGATTTTCACATGTACTGGTCTTAAAGCCCAACATTTCCATGGACTGGTCAACCACAGGCGTACCTCAGTGTGCCACAAAAGCCCCCCAGCTTTCTCAAGTAGTCTTGCTTCTTGTTCAAGGTGTTTCTATCCTGCAGTGCTAAGGTTTCTCAGAATCCAGAGTTGCGCTGCTAAGCCTGTTTTAATTTTTTTTATTGCAGATGTTTTTGACTAGGTCTGTCATCCTAATAAATACAACCCTTTCAAGTACTGAAGGCATAAGAACTCCACTTTATAGCAGGAAAATTATATTTGGTAATTGAAAAGGATTTCTAGTAATGACAAAAGTACATGCTGGTTCTTCGAGTGATTCTTGTTAGTTATTCAAGCCCTGAATAATACTGCAAAATACCATGGGTAATTAAATCAAAGATCACTGAATATTCAATTACATATGCAGGTTTGTAGGTTTAGTTTATTGTGTTCTCAGTAGCAGAAGAAGGCAGGTGTTTGACACTCCACATTCCTCCATTGAGAAAGAAATGCATTTGAATTTCTGCTTTGTTTGTTTTTGAAGTAAACACTGATATAGAGGTTATTCATCAAATTACATCAGTTTTAATTTCTCTTTCTCTAGGTTAGTAAGGAAAACCGAAACAGCATTTTGCAAGACATCTTGGCAGCTGTGGAATCCTGCAGAAAATGAAGACCTTTTCTTGCCTGTAAACACTAAAGCTTTTATTTTAACAAAACATCACAACATTTGGCGGATATTTTAGAGTCTGTCCTTCCTGCTTTAGCCCCTGGAGGCTTTACTGGAGCCTTCAGGGTAAGCAAGGTAAAGCTGGTAATACTCTTTGAAAGCAGCATTCTTGTTTATTCAGGTCACAAGCCGATCCATTCAAAAAATTGAACAGATGCGTAGTTAACATCCAGTTCTAATCTGGGTATTTGGAAGCTGGGTGGTCTGACTCTGATCCTAGTTACACCATGTAAAAGCAATTAACTGTCAAATGTGTTTGAGATCTTAGTCTTTCAGACTGTGGAGTGGACTGTTCTGCCTAGAGAGCAATTCAGTATCTGGAACTTAGCCCTGGTGTAACAGAACAGAACCCTGCCCAAAGTGTATGTGTGCTCTGCCCAGTTTATGTAGAAATATCTTTTCTGTCAGTGACCCAGCTTAGGTGTGTCCAAGTGTGTTTCAGCATGGGTGCTGATGATTCATGAGGTGGAAGGAATAAGCAGATGCTCTCCCTCTACCCTGAGACACCCCTCTCTCCAGTTGCAGTGTAAGAAGGGTTATCTAGAATTTCAAGAAAATTTCCTGTAGCCCCAAGTGACATTTACAGAATTCCACTTCAGGAGGAAAAATAACCAGCTCTACCCTCTCCTAAGTAGCCCAGACAGTAGTTGATAAGAGGGTTGGATTTTGGGTTTATTTTCAAGTTTCTGATGGCAATCCTGCCTTGCACCCGCTTAAAAAAATTATATATATAAATCTTCAAGTCCATGAAGTTCAGTCAAATCTTGACTTGTGTTTTTCATGCTGAGTTTATTAAGTCAGGATCGACTTAATACTGCATTTGTCTATATGGGTTTTACAATCCATTATGTTTATTGATACTTTTTGTTTAATTGGGTTTTTTTCTTTATTCAATTCTATACATGCTTAATGGTTAATGGTGAAAGAAGTGTTTGAAAGTATTAGACAATGTGTTTCCCTGTGAGGTGTGCAGATATGTCCAGGAGGAGTGCTACCGCTTAATCACTTTTGTATGTTGTGAAAACAGAATTCCCTCCCAGATGCACACTTGTTCATTGTACAATTTATGGTCATCTCTGGCTGTAAAAAGTTGTTAAGAATTCAGTAGTTTCTTAACTTTCTTCTGTTCAGTTCAACAACTGTTAAAATGAGCAAACTATTTAAAGGCATTTTCAAATATCATTTTAGTTATTATTTCTGTAAAACTGACACCCAAAGTTGTAGGGGGCTGGATGGGGACAGGCATTTTTACAGGTGCCCTGGAAACAGCTGGGAGCATGGAGGGAATGTCCTTTCTCTTTCCTATATTCAGAATGAGGGTCTGGTGCAAACATTGCCCCTCCACAGATGGTAGGAGGTATGTGCCATGTTAAAGGATGCCATGGCCTTATTCCCTGACTGCCCCATTACGCTACCATTCTGCCCAAATCCGTTTGGATGGTAGTATCATCTTCATCATATTTGGGAAAAAGAGAATTCCTCTCAGGGTCCCCCTCCTTTGGGAATATACAGCTCCTGGCTGCTTTTTGCAAAATAAGGCTGTGCCCTGAGGGTATCACTATCCCTTAGTTACTTCAGGCATCTTACTCAGACAAGACACCTTGTTAGAGGTGAAGGACTTGGGACGAAAGTAACCTTTTTCAGGGCTAGGTGCCATAGGCTTTTGAATAGAAACCTCTCTGCACTTAAGTGTTGGATGTCCTGCTGTTTCAATGTTAAGTCTCTTAAGCTGTAAAATACGCTGCAAAAGAATAGTTCTTTCAATGGTTAAATAATTACCCAAAGTCTATCAAGGTTTTAGTGGGACTGTAGTTGAGTCTTAAATGAGGACTGACCTTTAAAGCTAAATGAAGTGGAGAGGTTTGACACTTCTCTGTAGAGGCTGGGGAGAGGAGTTCCTTTAGGAGTGATGGCAGAGTTCAGTTTTCTAAATTCCGGTTCAGCCAGTATGGTTGGGAGTTCATCACGTAAAGTGGTATTTGTTCCTCATAAAAGTAGATATATTGCCCTGCATATAGTGCCGTGATGCCTACTGTAGTCCCATCATTTAATAGACTGGAAACAAAGAAAAAAGAATCATAGCAAGTTTGGGGAACTTTTGACCAGTGCACTTATAGTACTTTTAAACCATTGTCTTATGGTGCAAGGAAGACCTTTTGTAGTGAGGGTAGTTAGTCACTGAAAAAACTTCCAAAATGGAGGTGGATTTTTCCTTCACTGGAACTGTGAGTGAAGTATCAGCCCTTTTAAATCAAGTATTTTTGCTACTGGCATCAGTGGCTCTTGCTTTCTGCTGCCTGTCTCAAGATTGGTGAGAGTCTTTAATTTGTTGTTGTTCTTTTTTTAAGCCATCTTCTCTGTGAGCCAGAGTGCTTTTCAAGAAAAATAAAGAGAAATTTTTTCAGGAGATCCTAGATGACCTTAACAGTCGTGTCTGGCCTTTAAATCTGAGACAGTCCTGAAGAAATGATTCGCCTGTTTCAAATATACATTGAGTGAGTGAGAAAGTAATATTTCCAACTGAACTTAGTTTTTATGACACCCTGCGTTTACTTTAGAGGTAAAAATTTATTGTCTGGTCTTGCACTAGTAAAATATTTGCAAGGCCTTGAGAGCACTGTAACAACAAACAGAGCATTCACAATTCCCCTGATGGGCCAATTTTACTAATAGCACACATTTGGTGAAAATAACCTCTGATGTACCAGCAAGATTCCAGATGACAACATTGGTGCACCTGCAGGTTTTAATTGGTGCAAAAAAGGGGAGAATATGAGGTACCAATTACTCTCTCGAAGCCCGAGAATCAAGGACGTTTTTGGCAAGGAGGCTTGTAATTTCAACATAAAATTGCACACAGCATGGAATAAACAGGGCCTGCATTATTTATCATGCATTAGACAATTTTTGTCTTGTAAAACTCTGAGAAGTCTGAATGAGAGAGGTGAATCTTTAACACTGGACCTACTGCAAAGTTAATTGTAAGTAATATGTCTGTGTTACAGATTTAAGGATGTACAAGCACCAGTGAAACATTGTAATTAAATACCAGCTCCCAATCCTGTGAGTAATCTAAATATGGCAATAATTGGGTAGTTAAAAAATACACATTGATGAGAAGATGATTATTACATGCTGGAGAATTTCACTGGTAATTCTAATCTTCTAAAATGAGCTGCACAAAATGCAGCTAATCTTTAACTTAAATTCCCCAGCAAGAGAAGAGCAGTCGGTTGGTGGGTTGGAGCCAAACGCAGATGACATTTCTTGCTTTATTCTAATAAATAGCTTTTCAAAAAAGCTGTGAATGACATCGCAGAGACTCCTAAGAACTTAATAGTTTCAGAATGTCATTTATAGATACTGAGAGTATCTGGCCATCTTGTCGACGGGAAAAGTCTCCCACTGGTAAGTCCTCTTTGTTAACATTTGTCTTAAATGAATGCCAAAATTTTCTGTCTATGGGAGTGAGGTGAGACTTTTCAACGAGAACTCCAATGCCTCACATAGAAAAAGTTTGTATGACACTTCAAAATGGAGGGAACAGCAGGACCTCCGGCATTTGTATTTTTGGATGAATGGAAACCAACTTTGTACATTGCGCCCATCACTGTTTCCTACTTGCTTGCCGTGGTGGGAAGCTGCCGGGCTGAAGGCCAGGCTGGGGGCTTGCCAGCGTACCTGGTGGATGTGAGCAGTTCAGCAGCCTGTGGTTGGCTTTAGTAAAATGTTACTAAAAGTCTTTTCACCAGATCTTCGGGCCATGTTTCACCCTTAGGAGTGTAGCACCTGGCTCTTGCTGTATGATGTAACAAGAGCCTATTAGCAAAAGGAAGGATTAGGAAAACAAAATGGGAGGGGAGTAAGTATCCCACATTTAATGCAAGGGCTGAAGTACTGTTTGTGCTTGTTTTACTATATACTCATTATCCTTCCTGTATCCTGCTCTACTGCATGTGTTCCTCTCTGCTTTCTGGTTGTGAGGGCCCCGCTCAGCCACTGTGGATAAAAATCACTCCCAATGTTTCTTTTCAGCAATGGTGATGTTATCTGGGGTTAAGCTGGGGGGAGGCAGATAGGGCCTCTCTCTCTTTGTCCCTTCTGACATTTCTACGAAAGAACTGCATGTACCAAATGCTCTTGTGGATTGCGTGCTTGATTTCCTCAAAGGGTGCATTCAGCTCGCAAGCAAGATGGGAGTGTCACTGCTTTCAGGTTGTAGAAACAAGAAGGTTCTGGGCTGGCTGAATGAGCATCGGGCAGGCTTCTGCCTTCAGCTCCTGCTGAGTAAGTGGCCTCTGCGGCTCTGGAAAAATTCAAGCATAGCACCCAAATCTTCAAAATTGACACAAAACGGAACTGCGTGTAAAAGGTATTTATGTGTTGGTGGTGGCCATCCTTCCTGCATCACAGCTGTGGTAAGAGATCAGATGTGTAATGTAGGCAAACTGTTCAGCCTGAGGAGCTTCAGGGCCAAGTTTTAACAACAGCGTTATGCATTGTGAAACCTATCATCAGTGCCACAGCTGACTTAAAAGCAGTGAAAGTCGCCTTTGCTTTTCATTCAGAGCCCAAAACTGCCCAACAGATGGGGTTCCTGAGGTGTCACAGGTACCTCCATCTTGCAACTCTGAAGCACCTCGTGTGTGAAGTTAAGTATCAAGCTGCTTAGGTCTTTCAGGAATAAAAGTGTGGCTTAAAGCCTTTGTGTATCTATAGGCACTGGTGCTGAGAACAGCATTCTTATGCATTCGGGTGCCTTTTGGTGCTATGCAGAGCTGTTCTGAGCAGCTCACTCTTGAAATTAGGCCTTGTATAAAGGTTAGGTACCTACTTGTTATCTTTGTGTGCATCAGAGCTTTACTCGTCACGTACAGAGTAACTGGGTCTCTCTCTACCTCATGCAAACATGGGGAGAGGTCTAAGGTATGTTTAATCAATACAACCTCATACCTAGTTCCAGGTTTTATTTCTAACCATCAGGTCTGATTATTCTATAGCATTGGTCCACATTTAAAAACACTGCATATAGCAGTAGTCTTATAAATAACAGCAGATGATCTCCAAATTATGGAAAATGTAACATGGGAGAGTTTATGGTGTCATCTTCAATTTATTTTTTTGTCTTTGTTACTGTTGTTAATCGTCATTATTGTGTTTTTTCAACCCACTATGCTACAGTAACAACTTTAAGGCAAAATAAAAACTGTGTAAGACGTGGCTACGAAAAGGAACTAATTTTTGAATCTTACCTTGACTCCTGCTCTGCCCTGCTTGTGCACTGTGCCTCAACAAAGGAGTGAGGACATGTCTTTTCTGGCAGCCACCCTGTGCAGAGGAGGCTGGGCTTCACGGCACACTGCTGTCCCCAAGGAGTTATGCTCCAGTGGCTGGTGGCTTGAACTAAGTCAGGAACTGTGAGGCAGCTGCATGATCTTAGGGTGCAGTACCAGAGGCCATGGAGATGGTAGAGTCTCTTACAGAAGATGTGGTGCTGGGGGAAGGTGGTGTTGCTGGACCTTGGTCTGTGCTAAGCAGATGCAGCGGCTTGCCGCTGGAAGGATTTGTGCAGCTGTTTCCCAATCTGGTTTAATATGCTTGAGTTGGATACATAATTTAAGTTGATTGGGACTACTGGAGTTACTTATTTTTGATGGAAATTCATTCAAACTTAAGTTAAAGATGTGAAAATTGGAGGCCTAAGTGAGGCTAACTGAAAACTTTCCCATATTCAGTGCTTTCGTCAGCCGCCTGTTTGCCCTGCCTCCACGCAAGACAAAGCAATGATGGTTTATCCTAGCAGACTGCCATGCAACAGCCCTCAAGGCAGAAATGGGGCTGGTGGCTGTTAGTAAGAGCCCTCCACCTACCTGTGTAACCTCCAGCCTTCATTTGTAATGAAGCACTTAATGAGCAGGGTGGTGGGAGGAAAGGTGCGATCTGCCAGAAACGGTCAGAAGGGAGCAGCTGAATTCAATTGCCTCTTCCACATCACACCTGGATGCTGCAGGAGACAGTAGTAGGGCCTAAACTCCACTGATGCCCATGTGTCTCAGGGGGCTGTACATGAATACTCTGCTTTTGCCCTTGTGAACATGAGCAGAATTTTGCCTAGGTTGTGCTGAGCTTTATAAATAATCAATTCATTAAGATCTGAACTGAAAGAAAAACAATAGATTTCTCAATTTCATCAGGCAGAAAGCAAGTGAAAACAATTCAAAATAAAGAAGAAAACCCAAAAACTGCTGCCACACAAAACATACTTGGATCATTTTATTTTCACTAGGTGTTATTTAGTTCTACTACTTATAATCTTAAGTGTGGCACAGTAGGAAGCTCAGAATGCAACTGTGTATCGCAGTAATGAGACTTAGCTACAGCATCTCTTGTTAAATCTTTCTTGTTAATTGGGACAAGACAGCTTGGCTGCACATCATGGTGTTGAGAATTAGAAACAATCTATGATAGTTACAGTAAAGAGGAATAGCAAGACACGGATAGCTGCAATTTTTTTAATTATAAAAAAAAAGAATAAGGAGAACACGCGTGTGTGTGTAGATGCTATACTAGAGGAAGGATTTGTTGTAGTCTTTTGGCTTCCAAAGTAGTCATGCATTCCTGTAAATCAGTGTTTCCTCAAACTTTGTGAAAGCATGGCCTCCCTTTTTGCATCTTGTGTCTTTATGCAACTATTAAATTGGCAGCAGCTCAGTTTCTATGGGGGAGGGAAATCAGAAGGCTCTATAATTACTGGCTACAAGTGTTTATGGACACTGAGCTGTGTCCAGCAGTTAAAGGCATTTAGCTGTTCCCTTCCCAATACAAACCCTTCTAGAGAATAATTACAGCCTGCTTTGTACTTTCCTGTCCTTGAGGAGGATTCCCCTGGGCCCTTTTGCCACTCCCAACGGGGCTGTTGCCTGGAATTTGAGAAACACTGCTGTAAACCAACCAGGAGCACGAGATAATACCTAAGAGCAGGTGTTTATGCAAAGCTGCTTTCTTTGCAAATAAGGTGCTGCACCATATGCTTTGAAGGCTTGCCATGCACTGGATACTTTCTTTTCTCACACTTGACTTTTGTTAATCTGTGTAGCATGGCTTGTTCACACAATATTTCAATATGGCTGCATGCAGTATATCAATCTGTGATGCTATGTTGCTATTCAGAATTACCACCTGCATGACATGTTAAAGAAAAATAAAGAAGAGATTTGCTGTTGGGAAAAAAAAATCAGATTTAGCTCTAATGTTACAGTACATGTTGTACTGTCCTTTTATGTATTCATTGCCTCTGTTCAAAGTTGCCTTTTGCTATATGTTATATCAAATGCCAATTAGTTTGCATGCAATCAGCTGTTCAGTTATGGCAGGAAAGAGATGTCTTGTGTGCTTTTCACTGAGTTGTATTAATATTTCCTACTGTATTCATTGTGATTCCAACCGTTCCAGGGGAAGGAACGTTAAACAGGTTGTATTCATTGTTCTAGGATTTACAAGAACCTGAGATGAAGTGGCACTGTGTGTTTTTTAGGACATCTTCCAACCCTACCCATGCCAAGGTCTTTAGCTGAAGAACATCTGTCCCATAGTATTCCTGTGTAGAAGCTAGAAAAATAAACATTTGGAGGTTGCTTCTTACATTTGAAAGAACCTAAACCCACGTGCAGCTCCCTGACCTAACTCTGTCTTTATTTAATTCTAAGCAGCGCACGGCCCTTGCGCTAGGAATACTCCTTACTGCTCCTCAGACAGGCTTTGCTGAGAAGCGGTGTCTTCCAGGGCCATATCTTCTTGGCTGGCCCTTCTGCACTCCAGGTTCTGACTCATGAATATGGCATGGGCTGGACCTGCCTCTCGCCGTGGTCTAGGTTCTGTAGCATCGGTTGCTTCGCAGGTCTCTGTGAGTTGCTGGAAAGAAAGAAAGAAGAAAGAAAAAGTCAACTAGTTTAGGAAATTTCTAAGTAACACTTCAGCTATTTTTTGAAGTGACAAATTTAAAAAGTTAAAAATTGATTTAGGAATGTCATTCTGTGAAACTGCATGGGATTCTTAACATGCATTATTCACAAGGGACTTCTAAAGAGGTACTTGTCACACTTTGTGTAACACATAAATTTGGAAAGAAAAGCAGACCAGGAACTAGAGGTTTAGTACTGCAGATGTACATATAGAAAGAACTGTAAAATAATTTGGATTGAAAAGGACTTCTGGAGGTCATCCAGTCCAAACTGCTGCTCCAAGCAGGGCTGACTTCTAAAAAGTTAAATCGGGTTGCTCTGGGGCTTGCTTTATACACCAAATTTTAAATCCAACTTACAAAGAAACCTTTTCATCAAAACTGGAATGCAATTATCAGTCTGAAAATGTTATGGGCAGTGTCACCCTACTGTAAGGAGTCCATTAGTATAAAAGCTTTCCAGAACTGTGCCGTGTTAACGTTTAAATAAAATACTTCCTTACCACTTTCAATCAAATAGGCACCTGGACTCTGAGCAGTTAGTTTGGCCAGGACTCACCTCATCTAAATTTAACCATGTAGTCTTAGTGTATCATCTAGGCTGTCAATGGTTGGCAGAGAGATACAAGTGTCCCAGGGGAAGATTTCTGCCTGACAGCTGTAAGGATGAAGTGGATTGTCCTCTCCACTGAATACAGAGGCCACACCAACAATCTACTGAGGTTTCATGCCCAAATTTTAGATGGCTTACAGTTAGATGAGGTGAATCCTACCATTAGTACTCAGTATTGCAGACTGGCTGAGTTCTTGCAAATTAGGCTATAAACTCTTGAGAGTTGGAATTATGCCTGGTCATCTGATATCTTCAGCTGTACATGTAGAAATATTATTAATGCTCATTAGAGTAATAAAGCAGGATTGGACCCAGATGAATAACGTTCAGCCAACTTCTGTTGAAGTTCATGGCAAAACTCCAGGGACCTATACCATACATGGTATTTTTGGGTTGAGAGCAAAATATACACAGGCTAAGGAGCTTTTTTCACTTGAGATTTGGAGAATTCTTTGAAAATTAGGGAAGTTATACACAGTTCAGAATGATAGTAGCAGAAAAGTCCACAATCTTCCCCTGTTGCCAATTTGGTTTCCATTTTGATAGGCCAAATGCGAAAGTCTGTCTTAATTATGTTGTCACTCAACCTCCAGTTGCAGTCGCCCCTTATCTTTAGTCCATCTTCTCACGTTACTGCTCTGTAGTGCTGAGGTGAAAGTTTCAAAATTCAGGAAAGCAATTGATGGCAACCAAAGTTAAATAAATATACTTAAGTAGACAATAAAACAGTAACGCTACTATGTGCATTAAATTTTCCAGGGGAGATGGGAACAGAACTGGGAGCCTACTGGGGAGAGGGCTGGAAGTTCTTTGTGTTTACTGTTTTGCTGTTAGAAAATGCTGAATCACAGGGCATGCAGGTTTCCTTTGGGAAGTATTTCCTACAGAATTCCTTTGACTAACCCTTTCAGCAACAAGGTTTTCAGGTCCTGGATTGAATTTCTGGTCAGAGAGAGGGACAGAACAAGTGCACTGTTCAGTGGGAACCGTTCCTCTTTGTACAAATTAAGTCCTGCGTAAGCAAGCAAGGAAGGAGCTATTTAGTCTGCTTATGATGGCACTCATCAGCTGGGCTGCAGAAAATGGAGAACAAATCCCTGGTCTGAATGAAAGGAAGAGGGACTCCGCCGCAGTTTGCAATTTCAGGTGTGTGCTTAACAGCCAACCTGTCAATTACTTACAAATACATCATTCTTACACACACTAATATTAAACAGTCTCATTTTCATTGTGATGCAGCAAAATCCGAAACAAATACCAAAATCCTGACATTGTTTTCAAAAGACTATTTTCTGACCAGTGAGAAGGAAGAAACCAAACAGTGGTGAGGACAGTTCAAGAGCCTGATAGGAGAGCAGTACAGTAGCTCACACGTAGTACTGCTGCTTTGGCTTCAGCCTTACCCGAGTTGCTTGACTTGCTGCTCTAGCAGATGGACCCATGGCAATATTCATACTGCTGGATGACTGGGTGTCACTGGTGTTACCTCCGTCTGCAGCTGAGAGCCCAGAAATCACCAAAGCACTTGAAAAACTTCTCTTGCCGAACAGCAGGCTGAGAGTTGAGCTGGTGGAAGAGGCCAGACTGGACCTGAGCATCGCTGCAGCTCGGTCCTGCACAGTCAGCTGGCCAGCGGCAGGAACAGCAGGGGACTGGGAAAACACAGATGTTGCCGAGTTGTGGAATGACAGCTGACTACTAGAAAGCCTTTGGGCAATTTCATGGGCAGATGTAGATGTTTGGATGAAAGGCTGGCGGCTTTCTATGGGTCCAGAGTGACTTGAAGCAGGGGGCCTTTGGTTTAAAGCAGTGTGTGCCTGGACAGACTGGCTCCTGGGTTTTCTCCTGCCTTTAAAAGAAAGATTAATATATTTAAGTAAGTGGTGTCCTGATGAACTCCATGCTATTGACAGTGTCCCATGTGTACATATTACTATTGGCATTTACAACTGGTTTTATCAGCATAAGAATCGCAAGAATAACAGAAATAACAAACTGCTAAACTTATGAACCGTCCTGTGTTTTCCACTACAAGGGTTCTGGCTTTTGGTCAGAATAGCTCCAGTGGTTCTGCACTGAGTCAAAAGAGAGGAAAATGAGAAGACACCCCAAGGAAAGTACTCTAATCACAGGCTCACACCTATTCTGCCACGTACATTTTAACCTGCCCAGTGAATGACTGAGCATAGTGTTGCTGTAACTCCACTCCCCTTTGACAACCACGCTGAAGTAGGGGATGTTGAATATCCACCTTAAACGGCTTGGTATAATTAAATGCAAAAATAAAACAAAAGAAACTGTGAGTTAAAACAATGACACATTAAAAAAGAATTATTCCTGCATATGGGGAAGGAGAATTTGAGCATTCAACCAAGTGGAAGACTGCAGCATTCAAGCTACAAGACGGTTTTTAAGACTAATATTAAACTAGAGCTGAGCTCCAAGAGTGATATTTACAGTATATCACAGACTGAAAAGATGTGAACGCCTCTAGTTAGGGTAGTCTACTGGAGGTCTGAATGAGACCCATATAAGGCTCTTGCCCCATTCTGTGAAGTGTCTCGATGCAGCCAGTGCTGGATACAGAGAGTAGATTAGATAAGCTATTCTGATGTGCCTAGGCAACTTCTATCTTCCTGTACATACACACCCCCTTTTTCAACATTTATATCAACACCTTATGTCATTCAAACAAATAATTTCTGCATTTCTTACACTTGCATATTTAAATAGGCATAGAATGAAAAATAAATCAACTTATTGGCCAGTGAGCCCACCAGATACCTGCTTGCACCCAGGCCCTCTGCAAATGGCATGCAGCGGCCTGGCATGCGCCACAGGCCCCAAAAGAGTTCACTGTTTCTGCAGACAGGCACTAACCCAGGCTTACGCAGCAAATACCCAGTCACGCGACTGCCTGCTTGGCTTTTTTGCTTTCCACGAAACTCCAAACATTAACACAAGCTGGCATTTTGGTTTCCTAGCTATAGCTGGGGGGTAGAGAGTTGATGCCAAAAAATCTGTTGAGGGCCATCAACGCGGAAGCAAGTTTTGCTGGCAGGCATTTCCAGGTTGTTGATAATTTTTTTTGCTTTGTTTTTTCCCAATACCCAAACTACGGAGGGGAGGGAAGCACTGAAACTCCTCCAGATACTGAAATTTTGCAGGCATAAAGGAGTATAAATCTCACACTATCTTCTAGAAACATGACTGCTGAATTCACGAGGGTTCCAGCAATGCAGAATTTCATATCCAAACTATTTACGTTACATAGCTGAAACACGCTGTTTTACATCCACAGACCTGCTTTCCAGAGGCTGGTATCATTAGCCCCATTTTTCAGATGCTGAAGCAAAGAGAATTTAGGTAACTTGGCACAGAGTCAGATAGCAGAGCTGGGCCACAACCTGACTGGAGCTCTTTAGCTGGACTAAAACCTAGTTGGTTTGGCAAGCACTGGATACCTTTGCACCCCACTTACAATGTCTCTTTAGTTCTACTTTTATACTCCAAACAATAAAAAAATAATTTTCCTACGATGGCATGCAAAGCAGCATTCTCTGTAATATGAGCCCCAAGATCTCTGCTGGAGAGGAACGGGACAGACGCGTGTGGCTCCTGTGTGCCACGTTGCCGGTGTCCCCTGCACTTCAGACGTGATCAATAGGGAGGGCAGGCGCGGTGGTGGGGGTCAGGCCGGGCTGCCGCACTGGTCTGGCCTCCGCAGGGATTCAGGTTCTTCAAACTCCGGGGTTTTGTTTAAGTGCTTTGGTTTCTACATCTGATGGTTATTTTAATATGTTACCCTTTTTAAATAAAAAGAACGGACTGGAATTAAGAACAGAGGGGCTGTGGTGCGTTAGTTTGTGCAGGGGCTAACGTGGCCAAACATCTGTTTGTGATTTAAACTGCCAAGCTGACCCCTGTCCAAAAGTATTCTATATTCATCCCAAATGCAGTGGTTAGAGCATTGGACAGGAGACCACCCGCGTCTACACATAAATAACTCTGTCCTTGAAAACACTTAGGAAACAAAGGCTGTTCTATAAACTGCATCATGAAATAAGGACACTTTGGGGGAGAACCCCACACGTTTCCAATGCTCCCGATTTTGGTCGCACTTTTATATAGGGCTTTCATTGCAGACTCAGTGGCACCAGGCTGCAAAATGAAATATGAAATATGAAAACATTAAATGCACTTGATTCATAGATTATGAGTCTAGAAGGGATTGCCGTGATCATCTAGTCCACTGTGCTATATAGCATGGGCCATAGAACTTCCTGGAATTAATTCCTGTATGATATTACTAACTACTAAGATTATTTTTAAGAAATGCATCCAATATCTCCAGTCATGGAGAATCCATCTTAACCCTTAGTCACTTGTTTCACTGTTTATTTACTCTCACTGTTAAAAATGTGCACTTGATTTCAAATCTGAATTTGTTTAGCTTTGTTATATCCAAGTCTGCTCGAATCAACTGTCTTTGGTCACCTTTTGTTGCCCAGGTAAGTACTTACAGACTATGATCATCTTTTACAATATAAATTGTTTGAAAGCTCTTAATCTTTCTCTACAGGATGTATTTCCCAGGTCTTTGATCATTTTTTGGCTCTGCTTTGAACTCCTTCCAAATTAGAAATGTCCTTCTTAAATTAGGGCACTAGGACTGTGCATGGTAGGCCAACAGTGTCCTGAACCAAAGTCAGATTGACAGATATGCATTACCCAGGTCACCCTATTCATTCTGCTTTTTTAACAACATGCATAGCATAAGTTCTTTCCCAGTCCTCTGGTATTGCCTTAGTGTCCCGATACCCACTGAGGATCAAACAGAGTTTCCTTTTTAACCAGCTCTCTTAAAAACCTTCTTGAATGAGAGTCATTTGGATTTGCTCAATTAAGCATATAGCTTTGATAGCCACTCTTTCATGCTCTTTGTAGCTGTTAGGATGGAAGGAACTAGTTCATGATCAGATCATAGAAACAGATCATCTGCATTTTTCCCAATACAAACCAGACATTTCTTTTCTCATTTCTACGTTATTGGCAGCTCTTCCTTTCCATATAGTGATGGATCGAGACCACTGTTAGGATTTCTTTTGTTCTAATACTCTTTCTTTAAAAATAAACAGCCACAAACCCACTTTCATCTTTTTGTCCCTAATGGTGCTAGCCAGAAACTTTTCCTTGTTTCATTCTCTTTCTCTTACCAATGATCTCTCAGGACTGAATACTGATTTGCATTTGCTGTTTTCCACTTCCTTGCATTTGTTGTGCATTTCTTCATTTTACCTCAAAGCCAGGTTGATTTTCTTAACTACGTGTGACCTTCTCTCTTGATTGTGGTTTTCTGGGCACCCAATACGTTCTTTTAAACAACTCACAATTAACTTTCATTCTTGTATGGCATGCTCAGGATCATTATTTTACAATTAAGTTTGCCATTCTGATTACTGCAGTGTCAAGTTATGAGTATGCACATGGGGATTCCTCTAACGCTAGACTCAATTAAAAGCAGCAGTTATTTTATTCTCACAACATGATTTATATTCAGGGCAAGATTTTCTCCAGTCCTATCCATTATCTTTAATGATAGGTCAAAATGATCTAACAGGAAACAAACAAGTGTCGTACCCCTCTAGTTCGCTGCTTTAATTTATACAGTAATACCACAACTTGTTGAAAGGTTGATTTAACTGGCTTTACATTACAAGTCCTGATCCCACAGTGATAGGTCTCACAGTGACCCACTGCCAAACTTAACGTATATTTCCAATGTGAAGGCCAGTAGTTCTACCTTGTGAATATGCCTGAAGTACTTTTGAATCCATAAGGTAATATGAGAAGGGCTCAGCTGTTAGTTGACAGAATGATTGGCAACATTTAATTTTCTCCTTGTAACTGCTGTATAAACGTAAGAAGTTATTTCCTATTGGTTTGTTCTCCACATGCGCGGATGCACAATTGCCAAACCAATTCCTCAAATAAATCATTATGGTCCTTCCAAGATAATTAAGATTTTTGCATACTTTCACTTCTGCTGTTCCCAGCCAACAATAAGCGCAGGTTCACTGTGGTACGGGCTCCCTGCATTGCACATGTAGACTCCCTCGCATCTGCATTTCTCATTCTGGCATTGCTAGTGGCTCCTCCTAGTCCAAAAGTTACACATAAAGGAGTTTGACAGCAGAACCTTTGGTGAACCACATTTGTCTTATACCCTCCCAGTAAATAACTGGAATGATATCAGGAAGCCATCTCCTACACGTGCTTGGTCATTAGAAAGGACAAAGCTCTCCCTTTCTGAAATTAATTTTCTACTGGATATAAGCACAAGCACGCCCCAATAGCATCTGCCTACATGGCCCCTCACAAGACCACAGAAAAAGCCAAGTAAATTGTGCAAATACCTGCACGCTGGTGGACCTCTTGAGATGAAGCTTGCAACTGAGGGGTTCCATCTCTGGTGGGCTGCGAGCTACTGCTCTGGCTTGAATTGCCTGTGGAATTGCTGCTAGACGAAGACCCCCCTCCACTATCCACCTCTTCAACGTTCCCTCTCTCGTGGTGAGCTGCATGGCAGTCCTTCCGCATTCTGTTTGCAGGAACACACGCATGGTCAGCCATTTATTATGCATGAAAATTTGTGCCACCAATGTTGGGTGCCCTCAAAATGTGTAATTGTACTCTCTCATACCACTGCAGGTGTTTTGACATTTTATGAGATGACAAAGATGATGATGCGGTAAGCTTACTTGCAACAAAATTGTATACGACGCAAACCAAATCTTTCCTGTGTTAAGTGGCTTTGGAGCCCTGCAAGACCTTAGGACTCTTTTATCTAAAGTTACAGTGGTCTCTAAAGATCAACTTTTGCATGAGGTAACCGAGTAGCAAAGAAGAGAAATGGGCTGGAGGGAGCTCAGTGGGAATGCGCTGCATGGTGGGAAACTAGCATATTAAGCCATGAGATTTAATCTTGGCATTTTAGCATAGGTCCTAGCATGCAAGCTGGCTCCCATAGTCTCTCCATGGTCCCAGGCCTCTCCTCCGCCACAGTGGTGATAGGGCAGGTGGAGCGAATGAGCCAAGAGTGAGTTATTGCTGTATGAAAAGTGCATGTAGGAATGAGAGATGGAATGTGTCAGATACTGATCATGCACACCTAGGGGAAGTCAGGCAGTTTTGGTGGATAGTGAGTACGTTTTTAGATGGGTTTTGGTCAAGAACAGTAACTTGGGGATGATCATCTATACCGCCAAAGCTTTGGAGTATAACCCACCATAACCCACCAACACATTTACTCATGTTCTGACATGTCACTAAGTTACAGAAAAGATACCCTTATTTACAAGGCACAAACAGTAAAATTCTCTGGAATAAGGGAAATGTCTGTAGTGCTAAGTGATTTGATAATGAATCTTGTTGAACATGTAGAAAGCTTTGCTTAAAAGCCATGAATGAGTTAATGAGTAATTTGCTTTTTGCTATATCTGCAGGGCTATTTTGTATATTCTGAGTTATTTGCAATTAATTTTTTACTCATAGATAACAGTATGGAATTACTCTCTTTTAACAGAAAATACAGTGGAACCGAGACTGCAGGATCTCTATCTGCATAGCCAAAATTTAACACCTACCTTAACCATTTGGATCTGAACCACTTTTTAATGTTGTCCAAACTGACAGGTCCCCCCCAAATGTTCCTCAGTTGACTGTGTGTCCCAAGGTACGAGGTGGTTAAAGGGGAAACGTACATTGGATATCCCAGTGGCTGATCACATGAAGAATTAATTAAGTTCCGCAAGACCTGTTTATTGTTCTGGATGCTTCCTCTCTCTGGGTTACGATTGCGTAAGAAAATCAGTTCCTGCTGCTGCCCAGCCCAAAGCCCTCTGACGCACTCCTTGTTGACCTACAGGTAGGTTGAAAACATGTGGATCGTGTGAAAACATTTGCTACTTAAGATGCAGAACTACACGATCTAGGTAGAACGGCAGTAGCTGTGTGTGCAAACGCCTCATGTCTTTGCACCAACAGGTTTTATGAACTTTTGCAGCTACTGCCTGGTAAAGCCTGGAATGTTATTTCAGATATACAAGCATATGGATGCAAAATGGAAGTCAGCTGAAGAGAGCTCTTTTAGCCTCCAGTCCCTACTCTGATAACTACAATCAACCTCTCCTTTTGGCCAGATTACTCAGAAATAATATTAGTTACCACAGCCCTAAATTACTGCAGTATTAGAAGGATGGTATATGTACCTTGATGACCTTGAAGCTCAAGTAGCTTCTGTGGAGCATGATAACTTTATATTCATCTGCTCCTTCATCTACCACGTGTCTCAGGGTTAGCAGCTCCTCTCTGTTGGAAAGTACAGCGCTGCGCCAGGCTGGGTCCCCTTCGTGACAAATCACAACCTTTTCTTCAAAAGATTGGATTGCTTCATACAAAACTGCTGGGTCCTCATACTCATCTGGGCAGGTGAACTGGTCCTGGTAGTGCAGGAAAAAGTATTGAAAAGGTCAGTATATTTGTGAAAACACAAAAACTATTAACAATAAACAAAATCCTGTTTTTTGAACAGCGGCCAGCTGACCCCCCCAAAGTGACTTGCCATTTGATACAGCGTGTCTTTGAGGAGGTAGAACAATTAATTTAACAGTAATATAGAAAGATATGATTTTTCTTTTATTGTAACCTGTTCTGATCTCACGTCTCCATGACACTCGGAGAAGACCAACTTATCCACTTTCTTTTTATAAAGTGGGAAACCACGGGAGGCAGAGCTTTTGAGTAAGGGGACAGAGACTGGAATCACCTGGGGCATTCCACAGTTCTTGTGGAAATCCTTATTTTTATTCACGAAAAACCACCAACAAAAGCACAGACTGGGAATCCATCAGCAGGTATCACAATATTGTGTTACTACTTTAGCTATCATGCAGCAACACGGCCAGTGATAACATTCATAAAATTATTGTGTCAAATTCTCAGATATTAATTCATTGCAGTTCCACTTCAGTTACATTTAGAGCAATTATAAATATCATGCCTGATGAAAGCACATGATACTAAATCATAACGTGCCAGAGCAAGAACAAAATCAACTCCAAGCTATACAGGGGTTGACCTGAAGAAACTGGAGCAACTTCAATGGAGGTGTGCCAGATTTTTACAACTGAAAACAGAATGGGGTCAGAAAGCCTGACATAATCAAACAAACAGCCGTGACACTAACCCTTCAAACCACTCTTCTCTCAGCTGTGTCTTTTAACATATGGAAGCGTTACATGTGTATGGCCATTCACGAAAGCATTGATAAATTAGCAATGAAATTGGTCTAATCAATGTATTTCTTTTCAAACTAGAAACTATCTTTACAGTATTCACGCAAGTAAAACATGACATGACCGTCAGTTTCGTTTTGATGAAAAATGCAGGGTCAAGCTCTGCAATAGGAATGGTTTCAAATGGGCAGCTGGAGGGTACAGAAAAAAAGATCAAGTGAACGCAAAATAAATAAATGCCAAGCTTTTCCATTTTGGTTAAGGAAGTTTCTCAGAATAAGGCAACAAGTACTCCATTCCCCTCTCATTTTTTTTTTCTTTGGACAGCTTCTAAGGTTTCCTGTGTTTCCCTAAGAAAACAGATGTGGTAGTAAAAGTTAAAAATAAAAATGAAAAAAAGACCCTACCTGGTGTAGCTTCAGAGACATTCGGATTGCCGGGGCAACAACCTTGTGCAATAGATCCATGTCTGCAAAGACCCACTCATCTTTTGCTGCTATCCGAAAGTCTCCTTTGAACAGTGCATGGAGCCCATAAAGAAAAGAGTCCAAGCTGTAAGAAAAGGCAGCAGTCATTCCCAGAAGTCATTCCCGTCTCACCAAGCCAGACTCCTGCCAGCTGCCGGCCACGTGCTGAGCTGCGCAGTGACCGGTGGCCCTCCGGCGCAGGGTGAGCTCCTGCGGCGGGTATAAAGCAGGGGCCGCATGCATATTTCTAACGAGAAACCATTCCTCGGGGTAGGTGGTTTTCCCTCTGCTGGCACTGTAAACAACTGGCCAGGAAACGCATGTGGCACCTGGAACAAAGGATGTCCTAAGGATGGGTGGCTGGGTCACGGGGTGCCTCAGGGTGCTGCTTCTCTGCGGCTGTACCAAAGAGACCAGGTCAAAGAGTGCCAGCTGCTCTGCAGTCCCTCTGCAGGCAGCAGAAGCTGCCCCCTCATTTGGAAGTTCATTGATTGGCCCTGTTACTCTTAGCACTTCTCCTTGCAAGGTAAAAATAAAAAAAAAACAAAACAAACACCAGCTATAAAAAATATTTTCAGCAAATCTGAGACTTTTGTCATGCAAATCCAACCCAGACGTGAACATTAAACCAGATGTACTAAGAAGAATACTAAGTTTCAGGAACTGTTCAGCAAACCAGGTGAGACCATGAATCAAACGACAGGCATTTCATACTGAAACAATGAGCCCCAAAGCAAATATGCACCGGGTTTCTTTTTTCTAATATAAGAATCTAGATGTAACCAGTTCTGCCTGACCTTGGATGACAGTTTGCCTGGACCTGAGATTTAAGCAAGAGGTAAAAGGTACACAATCAAGGAGTTGTTAGAAAATGGTTGCACGAGCCTTCAGCTCCAATCTGCACCCCGAATCACAAGCTTCCCACAACGACACCACAGCCACTTGTACAATGCTTATGTAGCAGGACTGCCATCCTAATGCTGCTCTGAAGAAGTGATCTCGAAATTGAGGAAAACAGAACCATCTGTTAAAAACAGGCATCTCTTGCAAACCCACAGGACATGGTTTCATCTACCTGCCAAGATTTTACTTACTCTTACAACAGTTGATTTTTTCAGATTGTAAAGGCTCTGAGGAGAAGCTGCATTAAGATGTTAGTGGTTTTCATTACCACCCAGGCTTTCTCCAGAGAATGCATAATCTTTCCACATAATTGAGCTTTCTTAATTATTTTAGGAAAAGAAAAAAAATCTTCTAAATTTTTTCTCTTCTCCGAGAGAGAGAAGAGAGACTGGGAGACTGCTTGGCCTATCCTCAGCTCGGACACATTCTAATTTTGCCCTTGGTGGATAGCATGTTTTAGAAATTAAAATGGAAAGATATATATGTTATTACCAGAAAAACAGCTGGATACCGATTTTCTCGGCGAAAGCACCGTGTAATACAAATCAACTAATCAGTGGGACCAAGGCCAGTTGGGAGGGCAGGGCTGCTGTTGCTGCTGGGAACATGAAGAGTACGGGGAAGCTCTTGTGAATTCTTAACTGATTTGCATTTATTAGTACTAAGTTACATCTTAAAACATACCTACGTGAGACAGGCACTTACACTCAGATCTTCAAAACATTCAAGCGCTGATTTCAATGAGAGTTACTATGTGTCTTCAAGGAGCGGGGGTCCTGATCCCCACTGACTTTTAATCAATCATCTCCACAGTTTAGAAAATGATAATATACCCAAATCCTGCTTAATAGCTAGGAAAGCCCTAGAATAAACCAGTTAGGGGAAAAAACATGGTGGGTGCAGCCAGCGTGGTGAAATATGTGACTATCATCTCCTTTGAAAAGGCTAGAAATCAGGAAGGGTCCTTTCATTCGCCCACCCACTAGACAACATCCAGCACACACAGCTGAATCCTTGCCTGGAAAAAACCACTTCTGTATCTAAATCTTCTTCCCAGGATGAAACTGAAAAAACTACCCTGAACTCTGCGCCTAATGATGATCTGTAGTATAGTTTTTCCCCACATAACACCCCCTGCATTTGCTCTGAAAAGTTGGCTGGGATGAAGGGAGGAGTAGGCAGGAGAGAGAACTGTTTTTTACATCATTAGAAGCTCTCAGAGCCGCATCTGAACACCAGAGCAGACGAAGAGTTTGCATTCACATCAAAGTGTCTTATAGGCATCAGCACATGCTAAACAGGCTGCTGCGAACAGCAGTATCTGCTGAAAGCAAGGCCAGGACTAGGACAGCTATGCAAACCGCAGCTGAGCATCAGCAGAGGAGCAGAGGGAAGCACGTACAGCTCTCACTGTGCTTGGTTAGGGAACACTCAGCCATTTCTCATCCCTCTGCATAATAAGTTCTCTAACCAGCATTTTTAAGGACAAATATGACTGCTACAAGGAGCAAAGCAGTGATGGCAGTAGTTGTGAGAGGCTGAGAGTCAATTACTTTATATATCGTATTTTCCACCAGAGAGGTCTGGAGGAGATTGCTGTATTCACAAAACCATGGACATCTTTTATTCTCCTGCCAATCGTAATGAGGCTTTTGGGTACATTCTGCCTATAATGTGACACTATCTCAAGCCATTACTTCTGTAACACGCAGCCCTTAATCCCCATAAGATACAGCTGTTGTTATTTTTCCCATTGTTATGCTCTCTCCTGAAGACTCTAATGAGATTATAAGGAAGCTGTAAAGCCAACAGCTTTCATCTCAGGCCTGACTCAAGGTTGTTGCTTCTTTCTTGGCCCAGTTTTAACATACCTCAGTTAGTACAGGCTCTTTCAAAATATTTTAAAAACTAATTAAGGTAAATTCACATGCCAAAGAAATGACATTGATCAAGAAGAGACATAACTACTATTTCTGGCAACGTTTCTAACCCTCTGAGCTAAGAACCCGAAAAGCTGCTGTCACAACTGCGAGCTATTTTAGAACAAGACTAGTAGGTGTGTGGGAACCATCGGCCCCTCGAACATACAGAAAGGAGGGGATTAAGTAGCACCACAAATACCAGAGGGAGGGCAACAGAGCCAAAGCAAATACTCCCTCCTACCGCACTCCTTACGTTGCTCCAACAGCTGAAACTAAAAGCATTCAATGCAAGCCTGAAAACAGTACGGATGAAGACTAATGAGCTGGTGAATATATCTGTGTGTATTTTGCACACCAAAACCCATCCTCTGTCTGCAGTTTATAGACCCTTCCCAATGTTAACAGCAGATTTATTTAAGGAATAAAGAAACATGCATGCCTGTGAGCTGGTAATGACCTAGGTGTCGTAGCTCACCTGAATGAAATATTTTCAATGGTAGCCCTTCTAAATTTGTATTTTAGATGATAGTGGTTGTGAGCTAAGAGTCAAACTTTTCTCCCCTGCTACTGCTCTGCTCAGCTCTGGCAGACGTAAAGCTGCACTGTCTGCCTGAACTCCCACTAGCAATGCAGCATCGCCGGCAGCATTGTGGCGCCATGTCCCCTGCCCTCCACCTCTTTCCCCTCAGATGCTGGGCAGTGCAACGTGGTGCCCAGGAGGAAAGGGGCAAGTGGAGCCAGCTGCTTCCCTGGGCTGCAGCGTGAGCAGCGGTTCCTCCAGGCAGAGGCTTTCCTTGGAGTGACCCTCTGTCCACACTGAGTGATAATACCCAGAGGGAGTTTAGGGGACCTGAGCATCCAGGCTTGGTAGCGTTGGAAGTATCTGATGAGAGATGCTTTATTAAGAGATTTTTGTATTTTTCCAAATTTGAATTTATTTACTAGTAGGTCTCATGGCTGAATAGGATTATTAAGTAATTTTTTACAAATACACACCTAAACATATCACTCGTATTTGAATAAATGAATGGTAATGTCATGTCATTCTTCAAACTGCATTTTGTGCAGGATGCCTCCTAATGACAGTTTAAAAAAGCAAGTGATTTGCATAGCAATGTTCTGCCTTCTTAATGAATGCATTTATTGTGTAATCTAGTGTTAATGTTGGGTTTCTACTGACATTTACATGAACAGGTACACTGCATAATTATTTACATACATTATATAAGAGCATTTAAAATCTTGGTTTACACAGTGACATTTACTGATTAATAGATTAGACAAAATCATGTGTAAATGAGTGCAAATTGATAGTTTACATACACAATGTAAACTTGAATCTCAATTCTGTAGTGCACAGCTCAGTGTAACATTACCTTTGCATTACTATTTCTGCACAACAGTTGGATGACTGTGACTCCTCAAGACACAGCAAGGGCTAGACTTAGTCCAGAGAAAGTTTCCTACTACCTGCACAGTTACTCCCGAGAACAAAACATGGACTACAGAGCACAGATTCTTGGCTAGTTTGCTCACATCGGACATACCTGAAACACTTCATAGAAATAAGCGTGAGGAGGAGAAGACTACAATGCCTATCTGGCCATTACGTCTCAAACTCATCATGAAACCTCTAGCAACGTTGTACACAAGATGCTTTGCAGCCAGAATTAACAGACAGTCCTGAGATGAAGTTCAAGGTCATTCCTCAGTGCTTACCAGAGTAATCTAAATAATCTAAGTTTTTGTAGTCCAGCATTCAAGTGTGACAGAGCATGTGTTAGGAGCCCTGATCTCTTACAAAGTGAGCCAGCTCCCAACAGCCGTACATGCAGTGCATCCCCCTCATGCACACAGCTGGCTGTGGGATTGCCTGTTCTGACACCATCTCTGCAGAAAACTAAAACCCTCTTGTCCTGGTTTCGGCTGGGATGGAGTTGATTTTCTTCCTATTAACTGGTATAGTGCTGTGTTTTGGATGTAGTATGAGAATAATGTTGATAACACACTGATGTTTTAGTTGTTGCTAAGTAAATGTTTACGCTAGTCAAGGACTTTTCATCTTCCCGTGCCCTGCCAGGTGCACAGGGGGCTGGGAGGGAGTGTGGCCAGGACGGCTGGCCCAGCTGGCCAATGGGCTATTCCATACCATATGACATCATGCTCAGCATATAAAGCTGGGCGAAGAAGAAGGAGGGGGGGACGTTCGGCGTGATGGCATTTGTCTTCCCGAGTAACCGTTACGCGTGATGGAGCCCTGCTTTCCTGGAGATGGCTTGCTTTGCTTGCGTGCGCGGCTTTTGCTTTCCCTATAAAATTGTCTTTATCTCAGCCCATGAGTTTTCTCACTTTTACCCTTCTGATTCTCTCCCCCATCCCATCACCGGGGGGGGTGAGCAAGTGGCTGCGTGGTACTCAGTGACCGGCTGGGGTTAAACCACGACACCTGTTCAGCACCAATAGGCTCCAAAAGGTCCCCAAAATATCATGACACCTTTTCAAGGAAAAGGACTGTGAAGCATCACCTAAGGAACAATTCCTCCAGCTTCCGAGGACTGTAAGTACTTCTCCCCCATCTGACTGAATGCAGACCTGCAACAGCCTGAGAGCTGGGGGCTAGGACCAGCAATAATGCTCTAAATCACCCTCCGTAAGAGCTGCTGTATCTCCATCAAACACAGAGAGAGGGGAGGGAGACCTGCCTTCAGTGCCTAAAGTTAATCCTCGGGCACATCTCCTTCTGGCCTCAGCAGCGTTGCACGTGTTGGACAAAGTCTCCTTCCCTCCGGCATGCCATATAATTGTATTCCTATTGGAGTCTTGCTGACTTACTGCTGCTTTGTGTTTAAATAAGTTGTGAAGATCTGTGTGAAGCAGTAAACACTGTAAGTATGGTAAGAACTGCCCTCTGTGCTGAAGTGAATGTATTTGGGGGATTTTTGTTGATAAAGGTCTTGATGTCAGGGGGTAGCGTACCCACCTTGCTCCTTAGTTAATAATTTCTACTAAATTGTTTTTATCAATTAAAATAAACATATAAATTATTTAAGACAAGAATAACATATTTCACTAAGCTAAAGTCATGTTTTCAGCTGTAGCAATTTATAACTTGACTTGTGCTACTCAGATTCCTTTTTTTTTTCAGAAAATCTTTCTAACAGCTGAAATGTATTAAAGGTAATTTAACCAAGTGGGTAAGTGACACAGTTTTTCACAGTGAAACTTTTTTAGGGAAAGCTTTTGTGAAGTAGGACTGAAAAAGATACTGACAGAAGCTTCCACTTAATCCCTTTTATGTCACAAAATACATTTAAAAAAATACAATGATTCAATACTGCCCTGGAGCACTTTCTTAACAAAAAGAAAATCAGGAGTTAAAGATACAGGATTATACAGAATGGATTCAGAAATGGATTCAGGGATAGAGCTGTGCTGTGCATGAGACTTTTACATTTTTTCCCCTTCTACAGACCTTTTGTCCCCAAGAAAAGTATATTTGAGTATGGAGTGTCCACTCACCAGAAGAGAGAAACTGATTTGGTTCATTGGTAATTTTCCAGATTTTAAAAAGACATAGTATAGCTGACTCCTGCAATTATTATTAAAATCTTTACAGAAGACTTTGCAAATAATTATTCTCAACGTTCATATGTTCCATGTTAAGCTTTGAAAAGTCTCTGATAACACTATCTCTTTCCATTAGCTACTGACCACGTAAGCCAATAAAAATAGGTGACATTGTTATCGTATCTGTACTAGTGCCAAAACACTGTAATGAAGATTTTAAGATCCTGTGAAAAGTACATGCAATGTGATGACAGTTTTAGGAAGCTTTTGTGATATTTTTAGATGCATTTCTAATATCACTGTGACATATCTATTGCAGCCCCAGATCAAATCACTTTAATCTTTTCTCAAAAAAAAAATCACAAATGCACATCAACTTTTCTATCATGTCCCCAAACTCTAAAATTTGGATCATAAAAAAAATAGGGCAATTTTGGAAATACTGATGACTTACTACACATCACACTAATTCGAGTGCATAGAAATGAAGGGAGAGGAACCTCAACCCAGAAGAAAACTACTACAGGAAGGGAATATGCAAAGACTAGTACAAAAGAGATGATGAAAGCCACTGTAGAAAGCAGAAAGAAGCAGCACACCAAGAAATGGGGCATGTGGGCCATCAACATTTTGTGTGACTGGCTGAAAGAGGAAGACATAAAAACAGACGTTACAAACAACAGATAACAAAGCTAGAGTGAATATTTAAAGGACTGTTTTATCTTATAACAGAAAATGTATTCAAAATTGCACATGCTCTCTTTGTTTGCTTGTTAGTAAGACAAATCCTCTCTAGGGACCGTGTTGCTAGAGGGCTAGCTAGCTTTATTCACAGTTTTGTGCCAATACAGCAAGGTCACTTAGAGACTGTATTTACTAATCTTCTCTACTGTTACTAAACTCTTGTGAACACAGGGAGTTCAAATACACCTAATAAAAATCGAAAATTAGGAGAGAAGTTAGACTTTAAGAAAGTAACGATTATTTCATTCATAAAATGCCTTACCTGTAAAATTAATTACTCAGGCTGAACACTTAGCACAGTATAAATGGTACGTTATAAAACCCAGACAACTCAGAACTCCTAGTGAAGGAATCCCTAAGGAAAATGTAAGGTAAAGAGCATATGCAGAAATAAACTTAACCAAACATATTGTAATTAACCAGACTTTCTAGGAAGAAGTGTTTCGAATGAATGAATGAATGAGTAAGGTAGACTGAGAAAAGACAAAGCTGCGGTCTCAAGAGATGTGAGGTTCTCCCTTCCTCGGTCACCAGAATGAAGGGGCACAAGGAACATGGAATACAGCCCTGAGGAGTAGAGGACCCTTATGGATTTGTTATTATTTAGCTAACTAGATGTCAGAATACCTAGCAGTTTCTTCCCCTTCTGGAGGAAGTCAGCATTACAGTAGCCAGGCCAGGCATGAGTGAACACAAGCAATAACCATTGGTACCTATTCTTTCAATGCAAAATTCTGTTTTGCCCTATGAAATAAAGAATAATATTAGTTATTAAGCAAAATACCAAAGTAAAAGATGTCCAAGAATGGCAGAAAACAAATTATTTTATGGAGGAAAGAGACTTCGCCTTGATCTAATCTTCTGCTGAGATTCCACATTAAGTGAAAAAAAACAAACAGGTCTTTGCTCTAAAATGAAGAAAAAGGATTCCTAAAAATTACCTGATGGCCATATTGTGAGCTGCAGTTCCCAAAGCTCTTCGACCCAGTATACACAAGGCAAAGGAAAGCGTAACTAGAGGAGAATCCTCATCGCTGTCCAGGTGCTACGAGGTTTTAATAACAGCATGTTATTCCAGATGCAAATACCATCTTTAACAGCACTGCACTATAAATCCTAACATTCATAAAATTTGCTTGTAGCTGGACCTACACACAAAAACACTCTTTGCAATTAAACCAAACAAGAAGGAAGATTGTTGCCATCAGAGGCTTTCTGCAAAGTGCAAGATTATTTTGCCCACTGGCTAGAAACAGAAGATTTCAATCTCGGGTGGCGAGATCCCACGGGAGGGGAGCTTTGGTGGTGGTGGTGTTTTTTGTGGGGTTTTTTGCTTGTTTGTTTGTTTGTTTTTCCAGATCTGACATTCTAAACCAGAGCAGATTCCTTATTGCTGAGAGACACTGCAATTGGAGGCAGCCAAACCCCTTTTCATGGGACACAGTGCATATGAAACTCCCCCATAGATTCCAGAAGAACCATCTTTTTGGAAAAAACTGGGGGAACATACTTTTAGTGAATGACAACGTACATCTAAATTGTATACCGTTGATGACGCTGACCTCACATTTTAAAAAGCAGTGAAAACATTTCATTGACATTTACTAGCTCAGGAGACTTTCTTTACCGAAATTTTTGCAAAGAAAACCTTGCTGTCAAGCAGGAGGAAAAACTGAAACAACCCCTCATGAATGTGAATCTTTAGGAGGACACAGACTATTATTTCTGTCCATGCAACGGGTGATTTCTTACAGCTTTCTTTGACTCTAAAACTGAAGCTAATTATAATGGAGAATGTAGCTCCTTCTATAAAATATACTGATTTTCAGGGCTATGTGTAGAGCGAAGCTTTTTTTGCATCTCATCTCCTACATGAACTTTACCTCTATATAGTTAGTGAATTACAAAAACAGAGGTAAAAGAAAAAGATGTAAAAAATATATAAATGTGTGTGTGTGCACACTAGTGCAGGCACTCATTTGCCCTTTTAAGTCTAACTCTGATAAGTTTCAAGTCTATTGGACATCCCTAAATCTATTATTCTATTTGAAAGTCTCAGCCACATAACAAGTGAAAAAGCATCATTTAACAGTGGCTTTCCCTGCACTGTGCAATTCTTTGTGTGTCAGAACTTGGGAGCTGCAACATGGAGATGGGAAAGAAAAGAGACGAAATATTCCCAGTAGGAGGAGGTGGTGAGGAAGGCTCAGAGGACAATTTAATGAAAGCAGTACCAATGTAATGATATGCAAAGGAACTGGTGGATGGTATTCAGGGTTAGAGATATGAGGAGGAACCAAAGTGGAGAAGAAACATTAAGATTCAGCAATGTTACGCCAGCTAAGGTCAGTGGTAGCAAAGGGGATGTGCACTCAGTGATCCCGAATGAAAAATGCACAAATAACAGTACCTGGTGGCCAGGAAAGATACATTTCTCATTTTTTGCAATTATCAGCAATAATCAGAAAATTAAATCAAGGGAATATGCTTGTTTGAAACTGTATTCTCCCTCTGGGCTATTTTGAGTATTCCATGGAAATATAGTAGTGCATTTCTGACAAATGATTGCTGACCATCAGTAATCTTAGTGGCTCAAAGCATGTGAATGCGTAGCTGTAAACCTGCCCTTGACTTTCTAGAGCTGTGAGGTAATTTCACACGGTTTTGTGGCATGGTTCACATTTGAATTATGAGCTCTCAGAAGTGACCTATACTAGCAGTGAGTTTGTTATGTACTTCCCTACCATTTGAAGACTGTACCCAAACATAGGCAAATGTTTGGAAAGGGTACACAAACATCGTGAATGTTTGGAAAGGGTACACAAACACTGGCAACACTGAAGGAATGATGACATTCCCTGAACAGAGCCTGCTCCAGCATTACTTCTGCGAACACTTATTATATTCATGCTTTTTAGAGGTGATGAAATTAACGGTGTGGGAAGTGTGCACAATAAGGAATTGGTTCTGTATTGAAAGACTAACCCCCTTCTTAAAACCCAGTTTTTGCACAAGGGTAGTCTCCAAAATATGGGTTTTTTCCATTCCACAAAACACATATTTTTATTTTATGTTAAATCTGTGTCCTGGTTTCAGCTGGGATAGAGTTAATTTTCTTCCTAGTAGCTGGTATAGTGCTGTGTTTTGGATTTAGTACCAGAATAACGTTGTTGACACACTGATGTTTTAGTTGTTGCTAAGTAATGTTTACACTAGTCAAGGAGTTTTCAGCTTCCCATGCTCTGCCAGGTGCACAGGGGGCTGGGAGGGAGCACAGCCAGGACAGCTGACCCAAACTGGCCAACGGGGTATTCCATACCATATGACGTCATGCTCAGTATATAAATAGGGGCCGGTCCAGGAACTAGTGATCGCTGCTTGGGTATCAGTCAGCGGTGGTGAGCAATGGCATTGTGCATCACTCATTTTCTATATTCTACCATTATTATTATTTTCCCTTCCTTTTCTGCTCTATTAAACTGTCTTTATCTCAGTCCATGAATTCTACTTGTTTTTCCAGTTCTCTCCCCCATCCCACTGGGGGGAGTGAGCGAGTGGCTGTGTGGCGTTTGGCTGCCTGCCAGGTTAAACCACAACAATCTGACAGCTTAAATGAAATAAATTTTATTGTATTAATCCTGAGCAAGCAAAAGAGCAATGAGGCATCGTTTAATTCCTATCCCAAGAATTAAAACTACTACTACTACAAAAAAAAAAAAAAGCAAGCTTACCTCCACCCTTTTTCTAGCACAGAACTGAATCCAGTCCAGATAAACACTGCAGAAACTAGCTCTTGTTATTCCTTGGAGACATGGAACATAATCTTCGTCTATGTTGATGTTAAACATTGCAAGGTCACGTTCAATATAATGCCACTTTGCATAAGGCTGCAGTATCTTTTGGATGGATTCGTCTTTTATCCAGTCAAGGATTTTGGGAGAACTTGCTGTAAAGTATATTATACTCTGTTGACAAAATGTGCAAATGTTAGTCACTCTATCTCTGATTAGAGCAGATATATTTTACACAGAAGAAAATAAATCAAATAGGACCACACTAACTACCCATAATGGTACATATTTTTCCTATTTTTTACTGCTGGACATTATTGCTTCACAAAACTGCTCAAGTTAGATGATAATAATTGATATCTAAATAGCAGACAACAGAAAAAGAAGTAATATTTTTAACACCCTTCTGCCTTATAGGAAAATTAACACAAACAATAGACTATGATAAGAATACAGAGTTCCAGCATTCAAACATGTTAATTACTGAATATTAGTGGGGTTCAAGAGTCTATCACCAAGAAGGTGATATCGATAAAAGTTCAGGCATATTTTGAAAAAATAGTAGTAGATGGTCACATGCTCAAAATAGGGCTCTTTTTCCCCTGTGGACTTCCAAAGCTTTCCTAATTCTTTAACAAACAGTTCCACCACAATTTGACCACAAAGGTGAGATTTGACAGATGTGTACAACACAAGTCTGAAAACCGCTGTTTTAATTGCTGTTTTCTCTCTGCATTTAGTAGCATCACTATTTTTGTTATTTGTTGATGAGGCCGGTAAAGAATAATGGATTATTTCTTATATTTCGGGTTAAGAAGCTGATAACTGATGTAACTGAGTTTTTCAGCAGGACCTCTTTTACCAAATGCAGAAATATTAGAAAGCAGCGAGACTCATATCTCATATCTGTGCCTGGGTTTCAAAGTTCAAGTTCTTCTAACCGCTGTGTCCGGAGCCATTAAAATAATAATAAATAAAATAAATAAAATAAAAAAATCTATCCGAACCAAATTTAAAGTGTATTTTCAAAAGAATATGAAACTTCAGCAGGACCTCTTTTACCAAATGCAGAAATATTAGAAAGCAGCGAGACTCATATCTCATATCTGTGCCTGGGTTTCAAAGTTCAAGTTCTTCTAACCGCTGTGTCCGGAGCCATTAAAATAATAATAAATAAAATAAATAAAATAAAAAAATCTATCCGAACCAAATTTAAAGTGTATTTTCAAAAGAATATGAAACTTAAGGAGAAGTTCCAGTGCTGCAAAGGAAAGTGGCATCAGCTGGAAAGTCCCATTATAATGTTTTATGATTATAATTTTTCTTTTAATAAAAGATATTCATTTAGAATTGAATTCCAAAGCAAACGAGGGGCAAGCGAACATGACTGAAGATGATGTAGTTCTACTTTACCCATGCAACGGAAATATTATTAAGCAAATAAATGTATAAAATGAAAATATAATGGATTAAAAAGGACAGAAGCACCACCAGCCCTTTTAAAAATTCCAGATGCCCTCCACAGTTTATCTTTCAAATTGTGCAAAAATACACAAGCAAGAGGAAAATTAAGCTCCAGAAGAAAAAGGCAGGTCAGGCAGATACAGACTAAGGACGGACCCTTAATTTCTTGGCATGTGGAGAACAGTACACTCTTTAAAAAAGATTAATGCAGAAACAATAGAGCTAAAAACACAGCTCTTGGCAAATGCAGACTTCTTGAATACTAAAAGACATTTAAATAAGAATATATTAAGAAGAGGTGGAGGAGGCACAAGGGAAAAATATCACAGTAGTTGGGCAGGAAATTGTTTCAAAATATATGCAAAAGGGCTACAGGAGCTGACCCACTTTGTTTGTGGAGAATAAAAATCCTTTTATAAGAAGAAATACAGGCCTTTCTAGGCTGTCAATGAAACTGCAAATGAAATAAATACATTAGGAATAAGATGCTCAGTGCAACACATTGTTTAAAAGACCAATGTGGTAATCATTCTTGAAAGACAGGAGAACTGAAACAAAGCATACGTTTTCTTTGTTGATTTTCAAAATACAGTTTGCTTTTTTTATTATTCTCACCTGTGTTTACAAAGAAGCAGATTCAGCTGGGGAAAAATCAGGCTCGCAATCAAAGATAGAAACAGCAAAAACTTCTGCCACCTAATTAAATTCTGCTCTTAGTAGCCCTTTCTAGATAGGTTCTGTGCACAAGTACATCCTCAACTATATGGCAATTCAGAAATAATATGGTAAATATTTACAATATTGTAAGTTACAAAGAATAAACTAGAAGCACTCCAAATGCTCAGTGCAATGGAAGTACAGCTGCTGCCAAAACTCCAGTCTCAGTGTTTTCTGAGGTTGTGATTTATGTGACCTCAATACTGCATTAACTAGAGTTGTTCTTACAATTACTTTCCTACGCCGTTAGAAAGAAAGCAGCAGGGCTTCAAAATGTTCACAGTGAAATCGCGCAGGGTCTTTATAGCTCAAGATTCCCCCATAAAAGCAAGCTGGGGAAGGAATGAATTCTCACCTCTGTTTCTGATATTGTTTATCTGGAGGTAAGTACTAAATAAACAGGATGATAGCTGATGTGATACATAATATCATCTTCTCACCTTCCGAGGCTGTACTAAAGATTTTACCAAATCCTATCAAAGCTCCTGTGTATGGAAGAACACAGTACTAGTAACTTGAAGAATAGGAGAATAAAAGCTCCCTACAGCTTTCTTTTGGGAAGTGTCATTCTATAGAAGGGATCTCCTGAGCGCGCTTTCCCTTCGCTGAAGGGAGCCCCAGCCCAGGCTAATATCGAAGCTGCCAATAGGTTATTATTATCTTCTGTTCATCCTTCCCTAAGAAGGGAAGTAGATTAAAGGACTGGCACCTTTCTAAGAATGAAGATCTGTAAATGCAGTGTTATACTACTGGCTCAACTAAATCCAACCAAAAGAGATTTGATTTTCACACCTTCAAAGCCATAGTGGGTGGACATAACAAAATCTGCATATAGTGGAGACGGAGCCACCACATACCTCAGTAGTGTGGAGATCATTTAACCCATCTCCCTTTTACTCAAAACAGGATCAGTTAACCACACCTGTATCACATGGGAGAAAAGCTTGCCTAAGCTAGCTTACCTATGTCAGCTGCTTCTCAGGTATGTCCAGAACCAGAAACCCTAAACTGCCTTTCAGTTAAGTTTTACTTCCCATGTGATGAACTTTTCACACTTTCCACAAGTCCTCTACACGTTAGTTGACTTGAAGGCACTAAAAAAGTTCCACTTTACAAAGCACAGTTCTTCACTGCTTTAAACTAATAAGCTGCTGATTTGATTGCATCTTAGACTGAGATTGTTTTCGGTCTCGTTCACCACCAAAAGCTCAGTCATATTTCAGTTTGCATCAGTTTATGTTCAGGTTATTCAGGCTACCTTTTAAAGTGAAGCGAAGCAATTGTAGCAACATACTCATTTCAGTTGAAAGAAGGGTTGTATTTTTTTAGTTTAGATACATTGCTTAAAACCAATTTAATTTATAGCCATAAAACCCACTTCTAAAATGAAAAAAACATGCTCACGTGCAGTTTTGTTTCTAATTAGTTAATGAAACAAAGCAGATTTATTACCAGGACCTACTGCCTGTAAAATTATTTATGAAATCCCAGTCTGCATTTTACAAAGTAATCGACTGTATGATCAAAGCAGCTTTGTGAGGCAATGATCGTGTTTTTACTGCATTGGCTCACTTGCAAAAAAAGGTGATTAATTTATTTACAAGAGGTCTCTCTCTAAGTTTGACAGGATTTTTACAACTGCAGACATGTAAGTAGGAAAGAGATGATAGGGATGGTTTAGCGAGTGGCTTCGTGGCAGTACCAATGGCACAGGAGGCAGCATTTGGTTCTCGTTGCTTCAGCAGAAGACAATAAAGCTCAGTGATTTCTTCATTTACTGGACTGGAAAGACTTTGGCAGAGGATGAAGATGTCTTGCTAGACTATAAGGTTCAATTATTTTGACAAGTTAATATCTGTGTGGTCATTGTGATCTTAATAACAGTGCAAATATAGAACTGATGTAAATGAATTGCTGTTTAATCAATGGAATAAAACAACTTCAAATGTTTTGTGGTATATATGTAAAAGAGCAGGTAAGAAGGGGGTTTGTACTACTAAAAAGTATATTTGAGAAACAGCTCTTCAGAGATTTCCCAAGAACTTTATGCTTGTTGATCTTTTTTTTTGCCAGAAAAAACAGTGGAAAGGCCAAGTCAAGAAGAAATAACAAACTGTCAGTGAAGTTTTGCTTTGTAAGAATGCTTCCTCTGACTTTATCGCTAGAGGATGTTAACTCACCTTGATTTCTGCTTAAGCATGCCAGCAATTTTCTGTACTAACTGTAAGTATAAGTGGTCAGAATCAAATGTAGTAAAAGGAGATATGAATTAATTATCCCCATCTAACACCAAGTCAGTCTGACTGCTGGTGGTGCAAATGAATAAATATAAAGCCAAAAACTTCAAACGTTATTTCTAATACACAGCCAACATTCATTCTTTTCGACAAACCTGCCTAGGAACATAGTCCACTTTACCAAAGAGTTTACCTTTATATAGTATCTGATAAGTATTCTCCGCAGATCGAACACTTGCAGCATTGTTGCAGCGTTGTTATCAATGATGCTATATCCTTCCAGGATGTACTGGGTTCGTGTTATTTCCCATGTCAGCCATCGGAGGTTAAAGGCTGCATTACATGATAACAGGTGAGGCAAGTGCCCAGGCTTACAACAGCAGCAGCCTTCATTGTCTTCATCTCCTTCTGTTATAGCTTCCACTTCTCTCTGCTGGCAATATGTCCCTTGGCAGTGAGAAAAAGAGAGTATGCTGCCAGTTATTGGGGGGAGGAGGAAACAAAGGACTTCTAAGCTGAAGAACTATGATTGAAGGTTCTACGCACTTAGCAAAAATCTAATAGAAAGAGCTATGGCAAAAATTAGATGTGCCAATTGATCCATGCGCAGTAGCAAATAAAGAGCTATAATTTATTTATTAACTGTCACCTATAAAAGCCAAAAGGGCCCGATCTAACGTTCCAGGCATTTGGCTCTGAGCTGAGCTGAACTACAGACCACAGCTTTTGCCTTAATAAAAACTCACCACGAAACAACACTAAAAAGTCTCGCTCCATCAGGCACATTAAGCAAATTGATCCAAGTCTCAGACTGCTTCTTCAAATAACATACAGGATGCAAACAAAGACTTTACAGTGTGTCAGAACACTTATAAAATCCGGGTTTTAGCAAACTATCTTGGAAAGCAGGTTCCAAAAATAACATCCAACGGTTGTTCTCTCTCCCAACAGAGTAAAAGCTACTCCGGATCAAACATCTCTAATGAATAGCACTAGTGGCAGTATATCATGAGGACAGAACAGCTTTCTAATTAGCCTATTACACAGGCTTTAGATCAAAATAGAGTAAATCTTCCTGAAAAAGAGCTGTTAAGTCAAAAAGGAGTGATGAGGCAGATGCAGAAACAATAATATATCTGCTCTGCAGACTTTGCATTTCTGGCCTGTGCAGTGCACACTAGAGGGTCAAGCTGAGCCCTTCGGGATTTGGAATCTATGAAAATGTGATTTCTACACCATGTAGGGCACTACAAATCAAACCCAAGGTGGACACCCATGTGCTCCTCCCACCGTTCTCAAAATATGAGAGTTACATGTTCTTGATGCATGGATCTTTTTAAAATTTACTCTTTGTGGGCTTTTGCTGAACTTACTCTCCACCCAATTTGTACATAAACCATCTTTCAAGGCCATCTCCTATGATGCAAGTTACACATATGTCTCGCATGGGCCTTCCGCCAATGGTTCAGTATCACCCCACGAGAGAGCTGGCTCCGTCAGCTTCCAAACGGAATCGATAGGAGATGAAGGTGCTAGACACTGTGCTGCAGTTCAACAGCTATGAACCCCCCCCTGCCAGGACCAACAGACCTGTTGGGTTGTGTCACTGTAAATGGGAGAAGTAGTTGGCTATGTTCATCATCTCAACGTTGGACTGGGAAAGAATATAGTGTCAGCTCCAGTCCGCCGCAGTTTGCCAGCACCCGACAGAGAGCCTGAAGCAAGGCAGCATCCCACATCATTTCTGTGGAGCATCATGACAGTCGCTGTGCCCTCAACTGACTATCCCGGTCCCATCACAACTGTCTGGTCAATAACCTGAGGACCTTTAGTTTGTACCGATAGAAGTAGCACCCAGAATATTCCTCTCTCCGCAGCAAGAAAAGCCTTTCAAAATACAACAAAATATATTAAAGTATTGGTTATCACCTTCTCTTTTTTGCCTGTACACCTTCTAAAATGTATCCAGCAAGCAAAAACATACAAGAAAAAAAGATGAATAGAAAGATCTGGAAATGTGTGAGAAAAAATGGGATTGTAGCCCTAAGAGATAGGGGGAAAAAAATCCAATATATTCCAGTGTTCTCCATTCAGTTTTCTGGAAGCGAAAACTTACACTGTGTATGCAGTGTTGTTCACACACTGCTATGTATTCCTCCTTGGACTTCAGGGATATACAATATGACAAATTATTAAATGTCTTCAAGTAACCCAAATATAAACATCTTTCCTTTCAAGACTGCCACAAAGCACAAAACATGACCTATCAAGCTGACATTTCCAGTTGGACTGGACATGAACTGGACTGCTTCTGCTTCATATTTCACAGATTTCTACATGAATTAACACTTATTGCTCAAGAGTAAAAAAGCAGCAACTGCTCTGGGTCAGTGGACGCTTCTCTGAAGTCAAGTCCAAAGACATCGTTTGAAAGGCATATTCCTTTGTACATAGCTTGAAAAGAGTAAAATAACTACTTCATGCTGGTGCTGTTACTATTGCCGTTATGTTTATTTTTGAAAGTTGAAAGGTCTGTCAGTATTAAACTGAATTTAAGAGAATATACATCTTCATCCCAGGTGCTAAATTAAGTATTACCAAATGTCTATAAAAGATTAAAAACACAAGCCACTGATCCCCTTACAACTAAGGGAATTAAAGATGGCTTTGCTCAGTTTTTGTAACTCTATTCTTAAATAATTTTTTTTTCTTTTGGGATGGAAATATCACATTTCATTCCTGTGTAATGCCGGCTGTCCATGTGCTTTCTATATTATCTCTATTGATAAATATGAAATATTATTACTGGAGACTCTGTAATTACTAGTTTTCTTAAGCCATGTATTTTGTAAAATATAGGGACTAAAGAAGCTGGCAAGGGAAATAATAGGTGAATTCAAGAGACCCTCAATGTCTGAGGGAAGCTGTCATTGCATGCATAACAAACAGAAGAAGAAGATGCCAGAACAATTATTTGCATTCTCAGCTAATTTGAAAGCTAAAAGTATCTCCAAGTCATCTTTGCTAGGTAATTTTAATGAACTAAAGTTAAAATTATACTACAGTGGACGCAATCAACATTGAACTTGGGGAGCGAGAGACATTCTAACTGGTATGATTTTATTACAAAAGCTCTGGGAACCAACCAAAGGAGCTCATGTGGTCATTTTGCAGATTTATCCAAAGAATGAAATCAGGGCTGTGCTCTGTTGACATCTGGCAAACAGGCACTTGCTTAACAAAAGCTGTTTGATGGACTCAGGTACTATCACCGTGGGGATTTGGTGTCTTGACTGCTTGCAGAGCCTCTGGGGTATCCCTGTTAAGTTTAAAGGTATAATCTGAGCCGTGGCCAGTGCTCTGAAAAAACACCAAATCCCTATTCCTATCATCATGCTGCTGATTAGTATTTCCAAATGACATCTAGTAAAAGGACTCAAGTCTGCACAGACAAAATGCAGGCTTGATGCTCAAGTACACATTGGTTCCCCCCCAATTCTTGCAATCAGTTCTAGAAAGACTGCCAGTAATTTTCTCTCATCTTTAATCGAGCCTTACTTTAATCCATAATGTACTGGCTGGATTTCAATGCCACAGATTTGCATGTTACTGAGAAATTTCATTTTACCAGTGCCTACATCAATACTTTTTGGTTCATTACTCTAGACACTGGTACGGCAAAGACTAAGACCATGTGCTCAGCTTTATGCATTGAGCCAAAAGAGACAAGTCACAGTAAATGAAGTTAAACGTTTGTGTGCATCTTTTACAGAAGGGCGACCCTAGACTTTTGCGTATATGTCACACGCTGATGATTAAAATGACAATTTTTACATTGCGTTTCAAAAAATTATCAAGTTCAAGCAACTCAGAGAATTATTCATAAAAGAGCAGGGAGCGTGCACTTCAGTTCTGCAATATAATTAAGTGTAGTACCATTAAATATTAAAATACAGGAAAATGTTTTCACTGGTAATTAGTCATTTTAAAATCTGAGGGAAAACATTTTTTTTACATTTCTTTCTGCAATAGAAAGAAAATAAGCTCTCCCGCTTCACTCAAGCTTAGTCATTCACTGTGACCCTTGCTAGTACAGATGAGACTGATTCATTTGTAAGATACCTAACACTGGATGGTTGCCAAAAATCCATCAATGCAAAAACGTGTACCAGCTGAACAAAGCAAGGTCAATCTATGTGAGCTCAGGAGAAAACCAGGGTGAGACTTGAAGCTTTTTCTATTTTCCTGACGCATCAGGATTTGAGGACTGACTTGTGTTCTGCCAGAGTGATCTGACCTAAACAGAAATAAGAAAATTGAAACTGAAGACTGTAATCTCACTTCAAGAGGATATATAAAATACACCTAAATTAATGACCACCCACCCTTCTAGAATTTAAGGCTGAAATCAAAGTGTGCTTTTGAATTTAATTTTGAAAACTCAATGAGGGAAAAGAAAAGCATTTTTCAGTTCTGAAGGGCCAGAAAGAAAATCCCGTAACGCAATCACGTACTTCTAGAAGCAGTTTTAATTTCTGTAAAACACTTCAGTTTAACAACACATCCAGAATAACGACTTCTTATTGTAGCTGAAGGTAGCAATAGCTTGAGCGCTAAGGATTGTTGACATATAATAAGCAACTAGGGTGCAAACGTACATAGAACGGGCTCATAGGGCTCATACACTAACATGACATCAAGAAGATCATAAATCACTCTCCTGCACTAGGCACTTCAAGATTTAAACTCTGTGATGCCAACAACCAGTTTTGGACTAGGGGATTTAACTAGGTGTTAAGTCTGAGAGATGGAGCTGGATATGGAGATGGAAGCCATGAAGATGGACTGAAGCCCAGGGTAACTCCTTTTGTAGGCCATGCAGAGGTCTCTTCACCGACAACTCCACAAAAATGCCTGGTTGTTCACCATTTGTTTGGCAAAATCATGCACATGAATATTTTATAAATAAATGCATTATAGTGGAAATATCTGACTCTGCTCCACCAAGCTCTGCTGCAAATCCGAGTATTCCCAAATTCTGATGGATAAGGCTCCTTCTCACCTGAAACATTTCTTTTCTGCTCAGGATAGCAGCTTAATAAGCAGCAAGTTATCACCCAGAAGAAGCACAAAGAGCATAATTACAGCCATTGAAAGGCCATCCTCTCCTGAAACAAGCATCAGATATAGCTCTAGAAACACAGAAAAACAAATACTTCGAAAAGGAGTGAACTGAGCTCCCAAAAGGAAACTCACAAACCCCAGAACTGGAAACCAGCAACTGTTTTCGCTCCTTCCTGCTCTTTTCCTTGGGGAATTGGGATTAAGAACAGCCTCTGATAGTCTCGGGTTGTTTCAAAGAAAAATCTCAGGACTTAAAAACCAGTATCAATTCCTCAAACATCAAAGCTGTTAGTTACAAAACTGTGGTTTGGTTTTCAGCAGCT